CATGGTGAAACCCCATCTATACTAAAAATACAAAAATTAGCCGAGGCTGGTGGCAGGCACCTGTAATTCCAGCTACTCAGGAGGCTGAAGCAGGAGAATTGTTTGAACCTGGGAGGCGGAGGTTACAGTAAGCCAAGATCGTGCCACTGCAGTCCAGCCTCAGTGACAAAGTGAGACTCAGTCTCAGAAAAAAAAAAAAAGCTTAGAAATAAATTTGACAAAAGATGTAAAAGACCTGTACACTGATAACTACAAAATACTGTTGAAATAAATTAAAAAGATGGACAAATATAGAGTATACTATGTTCATGGATTAGAAGGTTTGATAGTGTTAAGATGTATGTTATTCCCAAAATTGATGTATGCAGTTCCAATAAAAATCCAGCAGTGTCTTAGTCCATTTGTGCTGTCATAACAAGACACCTTAGACTAGGTCACTTATAAACAACAGAAATGTATTGCTCCTAGTTCTGGAAGCTGGAAAGTTCCAGATCAAGGCACCAGCATATATGATGACTGGTGAGGGCCTGTTCCGCTCAGATGGTGCCTTCCTGTTGCATCCTCACGTACCAGAGAGAGAAAATCAGCTCCCTCAGGCCTGTTGTCAAAGGGCACTAATCCCATTCATGATGGCTCTCCCATCATGACCTAGTCACCTCCTAAAGATCCCTCTTCTTATTTTTTATTTTTGTTTTTGAGATGGAGTCTCAATTTATTGCCTAGGCTGGAGTGCAATGGTGTGATCTTGGTTCACTGCAACCTCCGCCTCCCAGGTTCAAGCAATTCTCCTGCCTCAGCCTCCTGAGTAGCTGGGATTACAGGCGCCCGCCACCACACCCGGCTAATTTTTTTGTACTTTTAGTAGAGACAGGGTTTCTCCATGTTGGTCAGGCTGGTCTCGAACTCCTGACCTCAGATGATCCTCCCACCTCGGCTTCCCAAAGTGCTGGGATTACAGGCGTGAGCCACCGCGCCTGGCCAAGACCCCTCTTCTTAATGCCACCACAGTGGAGATTAGGTTTCAGTATGAATCTTGGAGGGATACAAACTCAGACCATAGCAAGCAGGGTGTTTTTTTGTTTTATTTTTTTCTTTTTTAAATTCTTGGAAGGTTGGGCAGGGCAGGGTCACCAGGCCGGCTGGCAACTGCTCCCCCTTCCTCCCATCCTCTTGTAGCTTCTTGGACTCCGGGGCCAGTTGATATTTCTGTTCTGTGATGTGGAGTGATCAAAGCTGGTTCTGGGTTTTCTGGAGCTGGATCTTTGACTGCCTTTGATTTAAAAGCATTCATGACCCCTTTTCCCTCGGGAAAGAGGTGCAGATAATTCATGCAAATGGCCACCGATGGGCAGAATTCACCAAGTGCCTCTGGAACCAAAGCTGCCGTTGAACATTCTAGTAAAAGCGGGTGATGCTTTCACCCAAGTGCCCTGGATAACCTGGGAAAAGAAAATGGTGAGTCAGTGCTTTATTTATTTTTAATTAATTTATTTATTTTTTTGAGGCAGAGTCTTGCTCTGTCACCCAGGCTGGAGTGCAGTGGTGCGATCTCGGCTCACTGCCACCTCCGCCTCCTGGGTTCATGCGATTCTCCTACCTCAGCCACCCGAGTAGCTGGGATTATAGGCACATGCCACGATGCCTGCCTATGTTTTGTATTTTTCTGGTAGAGACAGGGTTTCGCCATGTTGGCCAGGCTGGTCTCGAGCTCCTGACCTCAAGTGATCTGCCCCCCTCGGCCTCCCAAAGTTCTGAGATTACAGATGTAAGTCACCGTGCCCAGCCTGAATTCTTTTTTCTTTCTTTTTTTTTTTTTTAGATGGAGTCTCTGTCACCCAGGCTGGAGTACGGTGGCACGATCTCAGTTCACTGCAACATCCGCCTCCTAGGTTCCAGCGATTCTTCCGCCTCAGCCTCCCGAGTAGCTGGGATTACAGGCACGTGCCACCACGCTGGCTAATTTTTTTAGTAGAGACAGGGTTTGGGGTTTCATCATGTTAGCCAGGATGGTCTCGATCTCCTGACCTCGTGATCCACCTACCTCAGCCTCCCAAAGTGCTGGGATTACAGGCGCGAGCCACCGCACCCGGCCTTTTAAAATATATTTATTTTTTTAAAATAGAGACAAGGTCCATCGTGTTGCCCAGGCTGGTCTCCAGCAAGCTCAGGGGATTCACCTCCTCCCCAACAGGGCTCCCCCAGGCGTGAGCCACCGCGCCCGCCTTATTTATTTACTTGTCTGTATTTTAATCTCCAAGGTGGATTTATTTAAAGGTTTCACAACTATGTCCAGGTTTTAAGCTTATGGGAAGTAAATGGGGACACTTTTTTCCTAAGAAGAATTTCTTTAAAACCAAGCACATTGCTAAAGAACAACATTATATCTGGCAAACAATAATTGGCAACAAAATAAGTTTATTATTCTGCCCAAGCCAGCCCCCGATGCTGTTTCTTAACCAAGATACAAACTAATTTTGCTGTAGCAAGTCTGGACCAATTTTATCAAAACATGTCTTTGGTTAGATGTCTAGTTTCCATTTAATGTTTTGAAAACTCATTTGACAGCCAGTCAAGTCCCTCATCCACACCAACTCTGTGTTGCACAAGTGGCTTGAACATACCATGTCCTATTAGGAAGAGACTGAAGAGCTGGCTCATCTGTCGTCGCACTGATGGCCCAAGCGCTGGGCAAACCCTGTTTGTTTGCGGAGAGCAGTGGCGCTGCGTCTCCACACTCACCTGCCCGAAGCCTTTTCTGCAGCACATCTGCCACTTCCCTAATTCTTTCATGATCGTTGCTGTCTACCAGCAAAAGAAGACCCTGGGTATTCTGGAAGTAATGCTTCCAGAGAGGCCTCATTATATCTTGACCACCAACATCCCACACTGTGAAACAAGTGTTCTCTTTTTGAGTCAGAGTCTCGCTCTGTCAACCGGCCTGGAGCGCAACGGTGTGATCTCAGCTCACTGCAACCTCCACCTCCTGGGTTCAAGCAATTCTGCTGCCTCGGCCTCCCAAGTAGCTGGGATTACAGGAGCCCACCACCACGCCTGGCTAATTTTTGTATATTTAATAGAGATGGGGTTCCACCGTATTGGCCAGGCTGGTCTTGAATTCCTGACCTCGTGATCTGCCTGCCTTGGCCTCCCAAAGTGCTGGGATTATAGGCTGAGCCGCCGCGCCTGGCCCAAAACAAGTGTTCTTATATTTTACTGCTTCCATGTTAAAACCAATGGCAAGAACTGTGGTGAGTACCTGCTCTAACTTCAGTTTATACACAATGTGAAGGCAGCATCCAATCAAACCATCCGAATGTGCACCTGCTTCTTGCTGAAGAGGTGGGAGAAGTGAGAGGAGATGGTGGGGACCATAGGTTCCTGGCACTTGTGATGGGCAGAAGCAGAGGGGTTGGGGGCGGCCCTGTACTTTCTTCTTGCATGCTTCCAGGCAAATTGAACAAGGGGGAAGAGAAAGAGCTGAGGAAGAAAGAGGGAGGCAGGGATGTCTCACTGGCCCATGTGCTGGTGAAGCTGTAGACAGGAATTACCAGGACAAGGACCTGCTGGTGATGGACACAGCAGCTCCAGCTCTCGGTGCTTTAAATTCCTGACTTGGAGTCTGAAAAGGAACCTGAAAGCCTCTATGACTGTCTTAAAATAAGTCCTTATCTCCTGTAGCCACGCGGCTGAGATTTCTGCAAAACAAACCTGAAGCCTAGTCTCCTGGACAATTTAATTACAGCATAATCTACAGTTTCGACTTTGCAGTGCCTCTTTTGTTAAATTTAAGGGAAGTTGGGAAAGAACTGGAACCTGATGTTGGAATGGGGGCATGTGGGAAGATCCCAGTGAAGCTGAGGACCACAAGCCCCGCAAGTCTGTTGGGATCTGCCTGTAAACTCCACAAGTCTTCTCTGAAGGCCCATGCGGCTCTTCCACCACTGCCTGGGGAGCTGAGACCCCTTTGCCTGAAGACCCTCAAGTGTCTTCCCTAGGGAGCTGCCCTGTAAGGCACCACCATCCTGCCCAGGACCCACCACCACCTCTGTTTTCCTTCTAGACCTAGATCCAGACTGGAGTTCCAGCAGGCCCCAAAAGAGAAGGTGTGAAGTGTGGCGCACAAATGCTTCCCTACCAAAACCTGGGGAAAATATGTGGAAATGGATGTTGAGAGTGTGGGATCTGGGTGGAAGGAATATAAGCTTGCATAAGTGAGACAGGGACTCAGATACGAGATTCTAGATTTGATGTGTTGGAGTGAACGGCTGGGAGTGACCACCCCTCCTGCCCCCACTTTCTTGATCAATCACCGAAACTGTTGCCCCACAGGTAGCCTACCCTAAACTAAGTGAAATCCAGAACTTTCCTCGTATACTGGAGAGGACAGTGGAATGCTAGGATGGATTTGTCACGCAAGACCAGCTTGATGTCCTTGGGGCTTGGAGGTCACCCCTTCACCAGGATTCTGAGGAGTGAATTCACGGGGTAGCCCCACACCCTCACCCGGACCCTCACCCGCACCCTCACCCGGACCTTCACCCGCACCCTCACCCACACTCGCACCCGATCTGTCACCCACACCTTCACCCGCACCCTCACCCACACTCGCACCCGATCTGTTCCACTTGGCACCACACCCCATCCTCACCCACACATCACCCGCACACCGCCACGCACCTTCACCTCCGCTCCGACCTACCTCGGCAACGCTCACCTCCACCGCACCTACCCACCACCTCACCCTCACCCCACCCTCAACCGCTCACGCACTACCCACACCGTCGCACCCCGATCTGTCACCAGGGCGCACCATCCACTACATCACTCGCCCACCGCCAGGAAGAGCCTCCCGTGATCCATATCTTTTCTGTAGGCCAAAAACTGCGTGGAAACTGCTGCCATGCAGCTGGACTCCAATGCAGTGGGGATGGTGGAAGCTCCGGGCTGGCGAGAGCATGCCGACCGACGTGGATCCCAGCACAACGCGGTGAGAGGCACGCAAGGCGCAGTCATCTGACCCACGTAGTTCCCGCGTTGCCTGATGGATGCGGCTTCCCTACAACTGAAAAAAATGGACATCCTGCCAAAGGCGTCCCCGTTTTGTGCTGGCAGAAAGGCTGTAGGTTCGAGAGCAGGAGTCCTTCGCTCTGACTGGAAGCCCCAACACAGAGTTCCGGGCCCTCGGCCAAGTTCCAGACTCTGGACAGACCCAGGCCCCTGGAATGGAGGAGAGACTGCTGTCTCCCAGAGGAAGGGGCCCTGCTAAATGCCAAAAATACGCAGCTAATTTTCCCACCACCCCTTCCCAAATGGATCTTCCTCTGTTTATCAGGAGTCTGTGCAACGGGGATGGGAAATAATCAGGCCTTCTAGGAATTTCTAGACCCTGGATCTGAAAGGAGGCCCAGATGCCAGGCAGAGCTGTGGTTTACGGAGGCGGGTGATGGAGTTCGTTCAGGTTTTCCTCTGAGTAAGCCCACTGAGCCTCCCAGCCTCCTGTGGAACAGACGTACTCAGCCAATGGCAGGGTCCCCACATGGGTACCCTGAGCCCATGAGTGAGGTCGGCTGGAAGCAGCAGAGCAGCCGGAGGAGGAGCAAACCCCAGGCCACAGTGTGCTCCTGGAGGGACCCTGATTTTGTCAAAATTTAGATGCAGAGAGAGAAAAAGATTAAGGAAAATACCAAAATAACGACAGCGGTGACTGCTGGGTCTGACGTTTTGGGCAGGCTTGGTTCTCCCTTTTGCTGTGTCCCACAGGAAGACAGACCCAGCGTGTGGGGACCCGCACCCAGCCAGTCTCGCTCTGGCTCAGCCTGTTTACTGGCCCTGCCCTGCCACCGAGGGCTGAGGTCACTGTCCGTCTGGGCATGTCTGTTGTGGTCTTGTCTTTTCTGCCCTTCTGGTTAGGCCCCCCAAGCTCAGCCACAGCCACGGCCCCCACTGCTGCCTCCTCCCTGGGACTCACTGACGCCTGATGTGAGGGCTGGGCAGGGAAGGTGCTTGCTGCTTTGGGTGTTACCGCCTGTTGGAGGCCCCCGTGCCGAGTTCTCCAGTGAGATGGCTCTTTCCATTTTCCCCGACAGCTGCCTCGGCCTCCCTGCTGGAACAGGGAGCCACAGTTCAGTGACCCTGTGGTGCCTTGTGGGCCTGTGGGTGCCAGGGCTCCGGGGCCTGGGCCTTTCCCTGCTTCGTGTGACCGACCGGGCCGCGGATGAGCCCAGAGGCAGACTGGAGCTGAGTCTTCCTCGCCACTTTTCCGCACAGTGAGCCCTTTGGCTGCACGGGTCACGGTCTGGAGCTGTTGGAGGAGGCTGGTCAGAGCTGTTGCTGTCCCACCAGACACTTGGCCAAGGGGGCTGCACTGGTCTGCACGGGAACGTCCCACCAGCGTCTGCTCATGGCTGGGCTGTGGACCCATAGGCTTGTTCAGAAGCCAAGCGCAGGCCAGGCGCCAGCTCACGGAGCCTGTCCCTGCAGCCACGCTGTGTGCAGGCACGTGGGGCACCATGTCTCCTCTATTGGCACTGCTGGGTCTGGGCCGCCAACCCCGCCTGCCCACCTGTGTCCTCAGCAGCAGCCCACGCCTGGCAGAGCCACCAGGCGCACTGTGTGCTGCAGCCCACGCCCAGCAGAGTCCGCGGGCGCACGCTCTGTGCTGCAGCCTGGATGGGCTGGGGCTTCGGGGCTCACTCCTCAACCATGAGACCCCTTCACCACAGCTGAGGCTGTCGCGGTGGTCTCGGGCTCCCCTCTGAAAGCCCCAGGAGAGGGTCTGAAGGGGGTGAGTCCCTCCTCCCGACCTTCCTGCCCATCGTCTCCAGAGCTGCATGGCACTGAGTCCCCACAGGCAGCGAGGGAGTTGCCCCGTGACGGAAGGATGTGGGGACCCGCACCCAGCCAGTCTCACCCTGGGCTCAGCATGAGTTCAGGGAGGGGTCCAAAGGGCACTCCTGCCCACGCCCAGGCAAACCAGCAACAAGAAACTGGGTGGCCAGGGCGGCCGTGCATGACCCCAAACTTCTCGGCGTTAGAAAAAGGCTGATGAAGACCCGAGACAAACTTCCTGTGGCTGTTTATTCTACTGCGAGTAACAAAACCTACGTCGTTCCATGTTCTCATGTACAGTGATATAAGCCTCCGCAATATAAAATACAATTTACAGGAATCTCTATCAAGTAAACTAAAGAAACACACTTGATTTTTACATTTGTGTATTTAAATTAGAAAAATTTGCTTTATATGTTAAACAAACAAACAGAAAAAACCTTCACATCGTACTAGATGTTGGAAAGTGACACCTACTTTAATGTAATTTAACCTATGGACACTTGGCTTTCAACACCAAACATCTCAAACTGATACGTTCTCAATGTTTTCTTAACTTAAGAAATCTGTGCTATAAAGTGAAAAATCTGTAGTGACGTACAATGGAATAACAGACTCCAAAGGACAAGTGAAGTTCTTTAATTTTATATCTGTAAAAGTAACTTTATGAAAATATAAAAAATTATCAAAGTGTATTTGTACAAATAAATTAGCCAGATGTTTTTTACTTCACACTTCAGAAGTACTCAAAAAATACACAAGCAAGAGACTGTTTCACAGTGAACAGCTTCCTATCTCATTTGCAGTTCTTGAGCTAATAATCACTATTTCTCATCTCAGACTTTATACGAGTATTGTTCCACTTTCAAGGACAAACTTTTAAATGGATCATCTGACAAATACCAGTTTGAGGCTGACTGCACTTTTCTCGGGACACAGAACTGCTCAGAAGGTGAAACTGGACGAACAAAACCTTCCGATTATTCAGATCAAGGACTCCTCCCCGCCCCCAAAGTACACTTAATTGGTTTGTTACTTTTTTTTAGGCTGGTCAAACTTAACGTTTTTCAATAAATTGTTATTTAAAATGCAACAATTATACTAGGACAGATGTTGCTTTAAATCATGTTTTTGAAAAAATTGATAAGGTGACATATAAAAGCTGAGCTCGCTAAGAAATGTGTGTTTGTTTCCCAGTTGAAAATTGCAATTCAAATTTTATGACAAAAGAAAGATGCATTTGTAAGTTTTGTGTTTCTCAAGACTCCAGATACAAGCTACTAACACTTCTCCCCAGCCGCAGGGTGGACGCCTGCGGGTCACACCCACACCGGCCTCCGGGACAGCGGCTAAGACCTGTAAAAGCAGCTTCTGGAAACACAAACAGATGAGATGTCAGTGAAGGTATGGCTCTAGGGTCCAATGAAATTCCCTTAAAATTTACAATAGTCAAGTTATTGAAAAAGGTAACTTTATGATCTGAAAAAGCAATATGCTCTGTAGGCAATTTCCCATTTCTTTAACTTTAAATGGAAATATTAAAGTTTAGTTTTTTTTAAAAAAAGCATCAGAATTGTAAAGATGTGAAATCTAGTAAGAAACCATTTACACAAAATTACAGTAATTTTTAAGTCCAGAATATTCTATCCTGAATCTAAGATCGTGGCTATTTCAAAAGCTATTTGTTCAACGCATTTTACGAACGTGGCTTTAAAAAGGGTCTCTGCCCGGCCGGGGCGTCTAGGCCTGCGAGGCGGCACCGGCGTCGGAGGCCCTCGAGGCCTCGGGCTTCGGGTCCCGAGCGCTCTCTTTGCTCTTGCTCCGGTCTTTGCGGTCGCGGCCCCGCTCCCTGTCCCTGGCCTTGTCTCGGTCCCGCTCTCTGCTCCGGGACCGGTCCCGGTCGCGCCTCCGGTCTCGCTCGCGCTCTCGGTTCCTGCTCCGCTCCCGGCTGCGGTCCCACTCCTTGCCCCGGTCGGCCTCGCGCTCTCGGTCACGGTTGACGCTCCTCTCCCGGTTTCTGTCCCAGTCCCGGCTGGAGTCCTTGTCCCGGTGTCGGTCCCACTCCCGGGCCCGGTCCCAGTCCCGCTCTCGGCTCCAGTTTCGGCCGCGCTCGCGCTCTCTCCTCCTGTCCTCGGACGCCCGGCCCTGGGCGTCGGGCTCCTCCAGCGGCTTCTCTTTGGGGCCCGCGTCGAAGCGCTCCCTCTGCCTCCCTTCGAAAGTCTGGTTTCTGTATTCGTGGCCTTTGCCCTCTCGGAAGTCGGGCGATGCCCACTGTCCGTCGGCCTCGGGGCCCTGCCCGGGCGCACTGGAGGAGAGCGCGGAGGGCGGGCCGGCCTCCTCCCAGCGGTCCTTCCGGTGCTGCGGGGGGTGGCTGGGGAGCTCCAGCAGGGGCCTGGGGCCCGGCTTCATCACCTGCGGGGCCTGGCCCTGGAAGTGAAATCGCGACGGGGTCTGCTCGTTTTTTTCAGAAAAGGGCGCAGACCCCCGTAGTCCACCAAACTGCAGCGGTGCTGGCGCCCTTTGGTTTGTGAATCTTGGTGGTGAATGGACCCTCTGGTCTTCGAACTGCTGAGGCTGAATGCCCCTGGGACCTGGCATAAAGTTAGGGACCTGGCCTCTGGGTCCTTCGAACTGGTTGGGATGAGGGCCCCGGGTAGCTTCAAACTGACTAGGATGGGGCCCTCTTGGGCCCACGAAATGGCCAGGGGGTGGTCCTCTCTGACCTCCAAACTGAGAGGGAGGGGGGCCGCCTCGGGGGCCTTTCAGCTGGGACAGCAGCGGCCTTCTCTGGCCTCCGAACTGGAAAGGCGCGCCGCCTCTGCCTCCCAGAAACGGGGCTTGCTCTGTCCCTTCAAACTGGGCGGGGGTGCCCGAGACCTCGTTATACGGGGCGTCCTGGAACTCCCTCTTCTCCCCATGGGGATCCTTGCGTTCTTCAAATTGGGATGGTGCCACTCCTCGTGGTCCACCAAGGTAAGAGGGTGAGGGGCCTCTGCTGTCCCCATAAGGAGGTGGCCCATGTTGCCCCGAGAATAAGGAAGGGATGGGCCCCTTCTGGGCTCCAAATCTGGCTGGCGGAGGCCCTCGTGGCCCATCGTTAGAGGTGATACTCTCTTCTGGAAACGGAGGGGCTGGCCCCCTTGGTCCCGGGAAATTGGGGCCATGAAGCCCTGACATCCCCAAAGCATGAGGTCCAGGTTCACGCTGACCTTGAAACTGGGGCTGAGCGCCCCCCCCTTTCTGTCCTGGGGTGGGGAGCGGGGTGGTGCCCTCGCCGGGTCTGGCCTGTGGCTCTCTGTCCCCCTCTGTTTCAACTGCAGGGCTGCTGCTCCTTCCAACAGAAAGATTTCTTGGGTCCTCATACTGAGCTGAGCCAAGTGCCTTGTCCTGCGACGCGAACCCCGGGCTGGTGAAAGGGTCCCTCTCACCGTCGTGCTGCAGCGGGAAGCTGGGCTGCAGGGCACCACAGGGTGGTGTGGGCAGCAGCACCCTCCGGGCAGGCCTGGCCGAGCTGTCTCCAGCCGTGGCAGGGCGGGTGCCCTCCCCAGGCTCTGCCTTCCAGCCGTCCTGCTCGGACCCCGCTGGGGGCTTTTCACCTGAAGCCCAGGGGGAAGAGGCTGGCTCCTTTTCCTCCAGGACTGGCACGGGTGCCTGGCCCACAAGGCTGCCCCTGCAAGCATCTCTCTCAGGCAGGGCACCCTGGGCACCACGTGCCGAAAGCCTGGAGAGAGGCTCCCCCTCCCCGTCACCGGCCTCGGCGACCAGGCGCCTTGCCTGCCGTGGGTCTCTGTGGTTTGATGCCTGGCTGGCGGGGGGCAGGGAGGTGGGCTTGTCTGCGGGCTGCTGCTCTTGCTGGAACAGCTCCGCCTTGGGCAAGGATGACTTTGGTGGTGGAGACATCAAGGCGTCCGACACTGAGAAGTGGGCCATGGAGACCCCGACTGCGGCCCTCTGCTGCCTGAGAGCTTCTTCCTGCTCCTCCAGCTGTCTCTTCTGCTCCTCGATCTGTTTGTTCAGCTCTTCTAGCATCTTCTGTTGTTCCACCAAGGAGGGCGTGGCGGCCCCAGCCACCGGCTCAGCTGGCCTGTCCACGGAGTTCCTTCTCACGTCGGCACACATCCTGTTGGGCAAGTCATCAACGGTCACTTTCGCTTCTTCTAAGATGGTCTCATCCTCGGGGTCGTAGGCCACCTCTTCCCGCTCGGCTGCAGCTGCTTCAGGGGCCCTTTCCACCTCGTGGCGCCGGCCTCGCTCCACAAGCTGAGTGTCGAAAGCCCTCTCGGGGTCATATTCCTCCTCGGGGTCGTATGGCCTGTCATCCTCCTCTTCCTCTAGGGCCTTATCTTTTGAGAACTGACCGAACTGCTGGACGATCGGATCTAACAGCGGAGGCGCCGGCACCCCCTCCTCTGCTGTGGTTTTGGGCTCCTGGGGGAGACCTGCGGTGGACCCAGGCGGCTCCCGGACAGAGGGGTCGAATGATTTCTTCTTTCCAAAGAGAGTCTGCAGGATGTGCTCCAGTGGTGACGCTGTTTTGGAAGCAGAGGAAGCGGCGGCGGAAGCTGCCGTGGAGGCTGCTGCTGCTGTTGTGGCTGCTGTGGCTGGGCTGGTGGCTGCAGGTTTGAGGGATGACAACACTTTTAGCACCGGCGGTTCTGGAAGAGGGGGCGGAGGGGGAGGCGACCCAGGGGGTGTGCTGCTGACAGCCGTGTCTGCAGAGTAGAGCTGATACTTGGAGGGCTTCTTTTCGGACTGCGGGGCCGTGGTTACTTTTGGATAGGCCGCAACGTCCGCTTCCTCTTGTTGAAGTCGGGTTCGCTTTTCATCCATCTTGTCTAACTCTCCAGTGTTTGCAGGACGTTTTATTTTTTGGCAGATTACTAATCCAAGAATTATATTCGGACGTGGTGACTCAAGACCTGAAAAACAAAATATTTGCAAATTTTAGAATCTAAATCCAACTTTCACCCTTCAGAGGTGAATTTTATTAAGGGCTTTCACGGGGAACGTTTAACAGACAGAAATAAGCCATTCTGTGGCAAAATAAAATCAAGTGTCAAGATAGTTGCAAAAGCCTGGATGATTCTGCCCCAGGAACGCATCGTCCCAGGAATGCACCATCCCGAGAACGCACCAAGCCAGTCCTCCCGGAGCCACGTGAAGGGGGCGACTGACCCCTCGTCACCAACCACGGAACTGAAGGCCCAATTCACGAGGGAATTCATCCCAATCGTCGGAATTTGTTACGTATTTTAAAGAAATTATCTGTAATGCTAGAGCAGAAGCGTGGAGGGGAGGGAGGCTGTGGTGGGAACCTACAGGGGTGGAAAGGGCATTGTCCCAGGTGCCCTTAACACAACAGCTCAGCTATGCTCTTCTTCCCCTCGTGCCACTGCCAGGAAGGTAACAGCCCTTTTTTTTTTTTTTTGAGATGGAGTCTCGCTCTGCTGCCGCAACCTTGGCTCACTATAACCTCTGCCTCCCGGGTTCAAGCGAATTCTCCTGTCTCAGCCTCCTGAGTAGCTGGGATTACAGGCACACACCACCATGCCTTGCTAATTTTTGTGTGTTTAGTAGATAAGGGGTTTCACCATGTTGGCCAAGCTGGTCTTGAACTCCTCACCTCAGGTGATCCACCCGCCTCGGCCTCCCAAAGTGCTGGGCTTACAGGCATGAACCACCACACCTGGCCCCCTTTTTGTCTTTAACTTAGGAGTTGCAACACATAATTACTCTAAATATACTAATATTAAATGTTTGATTAGGTGCCAATTCAACTCAATTCAGAATTATCAATAAAGCACAAGCATGAGGTCATCCATTAGTCTCTGGTGTCAGAATTACAACTACACAGGAAAAACGGCATTAAATGAAATGGCTAAAATAAATGCTTTGGACTGGGCATGGTGGCTCATGCCTGTAATTCCAGTACTTTGGGAGGCCAAGGCAGGTGGATCATGAGGTCAAGAGTTCAAGACCAGCCTGGCCAACATGGTGAAACCCTGTCTCTACTAAGAATACAAAAATTGGGCCAGATGCGGTGGCTTACACCTGTAATCCCAGCACTTTGGGAGGCCAAGGTGGGCAGATCATGCGGTCAAGAGATCAAGACCATCCTGGCCAACATGGTGAAACCCTGTCTCTACTAAAAATACAAAAATTAGCTGGGTATGGTGGTGCACACCTGTAGTCCCAGCTACTCAGGAGGCTGAGGCAGGAGAATCGCTTGAACCCGGGAGGCGGAGGCTGCAGTGAGCCAAGATCACGCCATTGCACTCCAGCCCGGGCAACAGAGTGAGACTCGGTCTCAAAAAAACAAAACAAAACAAAAAACAAAAATTAGCCAGGCATGGTGGCGTGTGCGTGTAGTCCCAGCTACTCAGGACATTGAGGCAGGTGAATTGCTTGAACCTTGGAGGCGGAGATTGCAGTGAGCCGTGATCGTGCCACTGAGCTCCAGCCTGGGCGACAGAGTGAGACTCCGTCTTGGAAAAAAAATTAATGTTTTAGGTTTAGAAAGAAATTCAGTGAGCATTCACATATCAAAGACTGCCTAAGGCTTGCGTCCTTGTAAACACAGGACACGGTGCTCATGTAAAGCCCAGAGGTGCTCAGCAAACGGGTGGCAAAGAGCAGAGCAGGTGAACGACGCGCACTGGGGATTTTAGGGCACAGTATTAGTTAAAAAAAAATTCTTCAAAGAGAACTATTCCCAACGTTGTAAGCTGTGGTAACTTAGATCAGGAGTACTAATAGTCCAGTAACAGCCCTCCCCACACTCATAATCAATCAGGAATGCCAAAGGGGAGTAGAAAAACCCACATCCCAAAACAGCAGCTGTGGGAAAACTGATACACATGGGCAGAGCGTCTCGGCAGCGTAACAATGTATGAAACTAAACCGTAAAAACTCAGTGTACAGATAATTTAACATTACTGTGGTATACAAAAGGTGCTCACGTTACAGCTTTTTTTCCCTTACAATGAAAACCAGTACGATTTCCCGTGCCTCTGGTGATGTTAAAGGTCATCACAGATCGCTTCAGGTTGTTTGGACAGGCACCACCCTGTAGTTCTAAACACACTTGTTGTTAATCTCCCTAAATTCCACTAAGGAATTGATGGACAGGCTGAGCACAGAGGGTGGTGGGTGTCCATCTCACCCTTAAGGGAGGAATACCAGGCCTGCCAGACTGAGTTGGGACCGGCCTGCTCATGGGATGCTCCCCCCCTCCTGGCGAGAGGGCCAAAGGCCTCTTCCTTCACAGGCTGCCTGGCAGAGCTGAGACTCGAGCGCAGCGAGAGGGGTGAGGTATCCCAGCACCTCACCTCCACCTCCTCTTCATTCTGTTCCCCGGATGGTAGCACGGTGCCAGTGAAAGGGCTGGGTGGGCACAGAAGGAGGGAAGCAGGAAAGCCAGCCAGGCCACACCGAAGGGCACAGCTGAGCTCTGCTGCTCAGCAAATACGAAGGGCAACCTGTCAAGTTCACGTTCTGATTAACATGAGTTAAGCATATTTTAAAATACTTCTCTCACCACAATAGCTATCTTTTGACTGAATAAGCTATTACATAGCTTTACTCACATCCACTTTTCGGGTATGGCCAGTTGTGAAATTGGCTATTATGGCCTTCCCGGACCATACATCTGACTGAGGCTCAGGCTGAGTTCCTGTAAGCCAGGCCCTCTCCCTGCGAACCTGACACGGGGAACAGACACAGGCCTGGGCTAGGCTTCGGGAGGGACCCCAGGCAGTAGGGCTTGTGGGGCCTCGTGTGGGGAAGTCACCTGGGGGAGCCTAGTGCTGACTCATTGACACAGAGGGGACATGCCGCCCAAGAGAGACTCTCAGCTTCTAAAGGGCTGTCAGGGTGGCGGAATGATGTACAAAATCACTGTTACGTGGTCCCGTCTTGTGGTGTGTCACTCCAACTCAAACTTTTAATGGCTAACTTGCTTGTTAATGAGAAAAATAATTAGTATATCCCAGCTCTGGCAAGATTCTTTCGTCTTGAAAACAGCAACCATCTGGAGATTGGCATCAAACACGCAGCTGGCACGTGTAAATGCTCCCAGCTCTTGGTGCTCTCATCTGCAGACACTGGTGACTGAATAAAGCTGCAGAGTCAGATGGGTGTTCATTCTGAATTTCCCCGCCATTTAAAATTTAAATTGGGCTGTCCAAAAAGGCACACCCGTTGTGAAACAAACTTGTCACCCACTCCAGTTTGTTACTATGGTTGCATGAACATGTAAAACGTGGCCGGCACCCGCTCCTGCTTGTTACTACGGTCGCGTGAATATGTGAAAAGTGGCCAGCACCTTGGAAGTCACTCTTCACGGAAGCAGCAGTGCCGTTCAGCTGACCGGACCTTGGGAGCCATCTTCCCTGGAGGAGAGGGTGCCTGGCAGTGCCTGACATGTCCAGCAGACCAGTAAGGTCAAAAGGTCACAGAGCCCCCACCTCAGGAGGGGCAATCAAGGTTGCCCAGGGGCTGTTCCCAGGCTCACCCCTCCCGTCGGCAACTGCCCCGTGGTGTGTGTGAACCCTGGGAGGGAGTGTGCCCCGGGAAGGTGCAGAGACTGAGGCCTGCGTGAAGCAGGCACCAGCCAGGCCGCAGGCAGCACAGGGCACGGCAGGCTTTACTTACCCACCTCCCTCCTGAGGGCTACTGAGGCCCTCAGTTCATAAAGCAGGCGGCCAGGAGCAACCAGGGCCCGGGGCCCGGAGATGCAAGCTGTGGCTAAACGTGCCCCTGCACTTCCACTGAAGGGTACTGATCAGGCCTGGAACAAGGGTGTGGACGTTCCCCCAGCACCCTCTGAAAGGCCAGAGGGCGAAATGGTTTTCTTCTGGGCGTATCATGTGCAAGCAAACAGGCCTTTTTAGCACCACGTCTGTGTCCTTTGCGTATTCACGAAGGCGGCGTCTGGACTCAGTGGTCAGAATCAGACCACACGCACAGGAAAAGAACGCAAGACACTGAAGACAAAGGGTGTATTCGAAAAGCTGTGTGGGCCAAGACCAAAACCAGGATCTGTGTCCAGGTGTGTCGGCAATAGGGACTGGGGGACAAGGCAGCTGACGAAGGGAGCCACCTGCTTCGGAGGGTGCAGGAAGCGCCCTTGGTACTGAACCTGAGGCTGCAGGAAGACACTCCCTCTTACTAATGAACCACCTGAAACCTGACTCCTCCCAACCCCAAACTATCACAATGAGGCCTGTACCCCTAAACTCACCCACCGAGCACATCCTACTATCAGTTCTTAAAATGAAAACTCTCTCAATGGTCTGCTTCTGTCAAAACAAAATGTTCACACCTGCTGGAACAGAAACTGTGTGGAAGTTAATCAACAAGGGTTCTGAGTATGACTTGGATAGAAAGACTCGGCAATTAAGGTGGGAAGAAGTGACTTCCCCCAGCCCACCAAACACACCCACTCACACACACACAGACCCTCCCTCGTTCCAACTGGGGATCCCTACGACCTGCACAAAGCCGCTGGGTCCAGCACGCCTCAGGTGAGAGAGCGATGTCCATCTTCTTCTGGGTGCCAGGGTGCCGAGAAGGGCCCCAGGGCAGCACCAGCCTGCACCGTGTCAGCTCCAGCCCCTGCCAGGCGGGCTGCAGGGCTGGGGGCACCACCAGGGTGTGCTGCGCTGGCTTATGGAAAGCAAAGGGGGGCCTAGGAGAGGTGACCAGGAGCCACCAAATGGTTCCAATTCAAACAAACAAGGACCAGTTTCCACGAAATATGTTTATTGATTTAGGAGGAGAAGGCAGTACATTCCATTCAATACCGATTACAATTTCCATGCAAAGCTACTGTTACATACACACATGAAAACTGAAGAAATGCTTACCTGACAATATTTCAAGTCAGAATTTCTCAGCTAATTTAGAAAGCAGTTAAAAGTGAATACAGAAGGACACTATGGATTCATTCTTCCCAGAAGAGCTTTCTAATGTATAAAGACCTCAGAGAAAAGAGCCCTTTCCATTGGAGCAGCTACAGAGGGCGGTGTTCCTCCTGCCCCGTACTTGGGGGGAACAGACTGTGCACCCATGTTTATGGACCGAGGTCACTCGACAGGCATTTCAGACCAAGGCTCCGAGGCCTGCGGCTTCACGTGGAAATGACGGGGGCTGGGCATGGTTTACAGGCAGGCATCTTGGCTGTGGTCCAGTCCTGTAAGGGCCCCACACAGAACCCTCCCCGATGAGCTTTCAACCCGACTCATCTCCCTTCCGTGAACAAGGCCCTGAGACAGGCCCAGACTCTGCCACCCCAAGTCCCTGCGGGGGGCCCTGTTGGTAGAGCTGGAACTGAGTGGGGTAAATATCTAGGTGGAGAAGGTCACCCGGACCCAGGCCTCCCAGTTGCCCCCCAGTGATGCTGAGTTACGGAGAGTGCCCCCACTGCAGGGCAGAGGGGCAGAGGAACAAAACCTGGTGTTTTTGTGGACAAATCATTAAGACATGCAAGGACAAATGTCCTCGGGGAGATCCAGCTACTGCTGTGAACTGCACGGCTCCCGAGGGTGCTGCGGGGGCAGCTCCACTCTCACTGCCCAAGAAGGGTCAAGTGTTGATGGGGTGGGTGACTTGGTTTCCCCTGAGGGCACAGCTGGGCACCTTCAGTCCTTCACTTGCTTAGATGTGAACAGCAAGCACCAACGGGGCTGGGACTAGACACCACGCTGTCAGAACCCATTAGGCCCCATGTGTGGGAGGCAGGACACCTGCAATTGTGTGGTATAAACTGAGGCACATGGATGAGTCGGTCACTCTTTTCTGCGTGAATCTCTACCCCCAACAGGACCTTCTCCTTAACACCCCCAGGGGAAGATGCTCCCACATCAGTGCCCTGATGCAGATGGGCAGCTCAAGGCTGGGGCGCCAGGTCTCCTTCAGGCCTGTGCTGCATGTGCTGCAGAGAACTGAGGCTCTGGAATGGCACTGGGCCCTGCAGACCCTCGCCCAGCACTTCCAGGGGCATGACTCTAGGCCACGCAGCACACGCTCACCCCTGACCACAGCTCTGTGGAGTCACCACCATCAGTGCCCTCAGGTGTGGCCTGTGCTGTCCAAGGGCTTCTGGGCAGAGACTAACTCCATGAGGACAGAGTCCGCTGAGACAGGAAACGTGCCAAGACCTAGCCTTACACACACACACACACACACACACACGCACTACACATTTACACCACAAAGCCAGGACACACACGTACATGTTTATATCTAGAAAACGCCAAGTCAAGTAATCAGTACGTGAAGTGGGCCAAGTACCCAATGGCCTGGCCCGGGGAAAAGGCTGTTTAGTGACCATGGAAGTGTGTGAAATTTCACGCACACATAATCATGTCAACAAGGACATCAGGAGAATTCAACATTATACTGAAGCCTTAAGTTAAAACATTTCTGAAGTGTATGGAAAAGTTTCACTCGCTGTTACTTCTCTAAAGTCCCTTGCCCTGTGTTACTTTACCCAGACGCCTCTGCTCTTTATGGTGCATCAAAGTCCCCGGAGCGTTTGTGTGTCCCCGTCAGGCGGCGTTGTGGCCTCAGCGAGTGCCTTGGTGGGCGAGTGTGACGTTTCCCCAGCTGGTCGCGGAGCTGACAGTGTGGGTGGTTGGCACCATCGCACTCAACAGACAAGGTGAGTGACCCCAGCCCAGCCCTCCTTGTCCTGGTGCCATCCGGGAGGTGCCGGGAGACCTGTCCTCTCCCTCTGCCCCAGGGCTGCACCTGCCCAGCCAGCCCTTGCTGTGGGGAGAACGGGGGTGCCGCTCCTCTGGTGGCCTCCCTGGGCCCCATCACTGCCCAGTGTGGGGAACCCTGTGCCCGGCATGTGCCAGGGCTCGCTCAACACCCTACAACCTGTGCTCACCTGACAGCTCCAAGCTTGGAGATGGAGTAGGGAGAGGAGCTCAAAAAAGGATGAAATATCGCTTCAATTTTTTTAAAAAGGGGAGGCTCGCTATCTATGAATTCACGTTTCTGTAAATAAAAAGTGCTCTTTTCACCCCAGCAGTGAGGTGCTGAGGCGCTGCAGTGTCTGCACTGACTCTGCACACACACTGCTGCTGCACTTGCAACTGACCAGGGGGTATTCACAGGTGCCGGAGAGGTCAGCTTCTCGGTCTTCACCTCCAGGAGGGCCGGGCTTTTCCTCTCCCTGGTCACGTGGAGCTGGCCAGAGCTCTTCACAAGCATCACTTAGAACCTCTACCAGGGTCCTTTCTGCCACCCATTAGGTGGCATCTCTTTATCCCAAGTAGGATTTGAGGGGACACACTAAAGCACTTTGCTTTTAAAAATGTATCTGGCACTAAAATAATTTAATGCATCATGCCAGCAAATATTTAACCCTGAAATTACTGATACCAACCAATCCCTTTATGGACATACAATTCCACAACAGAGGCACAGGCTGAGCCCACTCCAGCTGTGAAATGGGCTCCAGTAGGAACATAGGCTGTGCCTGGGGTGACAGAAGCCTCGCCCAAGATGTGGAGTGGCCCCTACAGGACCCCAGCTAGCTAGGGTGCGGCGTGAGGAGTGTGGGTGGGAGCACCCTGCACAGCTGTGGCAGGAACACCCGCCGAGGCCTGGTGACAGGGACAGAGGGCACTGAGGCACAGGGTCTAGACAGCACCTGCCTTTATGACGAAGCACTTAAGAGGACACTGTGTGATTCACGCACCCACTTTTAGAGAACACTGATCCTCTGAGGACTGCATGGCCAAGGAGACACTGCAGTTGGGCAGCGGATACTCATCCCTAACTGAAGTCACATCAGCTTTTGCTAAGGGGCTATGAAAGAGCTGGTCACTGACAAGAGCATGTGGCCCCTGGAACCACCCTCAACCCTTGACAAAGAAGATATATTTTAAGCTATTTGTAAATAATCGTTTAAGTACAGTACTTCCCAAGGAATGTGCAAACACAAAGTAGCTGGCCAAAGATGAATGAAGCTATTACAATTTGAGCCACAGATTTGAAAGTAATTCTTTCTAGAAATAGTTTTCTATGTCATTATTTTAAAATCTCCTGGAAATCCATCCCTGTTAGAGAAGTTACCCCTGATGGAGCCACTTCCTGGTGTGTGCTGGCTCCTGAGTCTATCTGGAGGAAAGAACAAGGCAGCTGGGAGTGTCACCTCCCTTTCTGGCTGAGCCTCGGGCTCCTGGGCACTGTGTCTTCTCTGACCTGAGGCCAGGATGAGCTGGTTGCAAGCTGTGGGTTTTTCCCTCTCTAAAAAACTCTTCTAAGACAATTTATGCTGTGAATAGGGGGCACTTCTAGTGCCACAGTCCTACGCCCTCAAAGATCAATCCTATTGCTAACCGCTGAGTCTGTGCTCCTAACTCCTGCTCCCAAAGAGCCCTGGGCTGGTCAGGACCCAGCAGGGCACGTCAGTGGGAGGAGGGGTGCAGGTGCAGGTGGGCCTCACCTCCACCCAGAAAGCCAGCGCTTACCTGGTCCCTCAAAGGGCAAGAGTTTGGATGGAACAGGGTCCTGGGCGCTCAGTGGGATCAGGTAGAGGTCCTTGACGTGCCTGTTGTTATTAGCTACAACACCAAAGCGGCCACGGCTGCTAAAATAGGAGTAGAGAGAGATATAGGCGACCTCCTCTTCCTCTGTGGCGGGGTGGAAGCGGATCAGACAGAGCTCCTGCAATGGAAGAGTGGGAAGCACTCATAAAGAAAATGCGGCTTAAGCATCACACGCCCGATTCACATCCTGCTTTCAACAGGAAACCTTGTAAAATCTCTCCTACTCACAGCCATGATCTCACAGAGCTCCTGTCTCAGTGAGGCAATTCACGTGACATGTGAGCCCAGCAGTGTCTGGAGCAGAGCTGGCTTTTCCTACATGCACGATGGCCCTGGTCACGAGGAACCAGCTGCATGATCTGCAATGGCTGGCTGTGCACCTCCCCAGAGGAGGGTTAAACTAGACGACGGGATCTAGCCCTTTTGTGAACCTGACGAAGACTACAGAGCTTCCCCAGAGAAAACCACAGACACACACAGCTGTAGCTAAATCTCAGGGGGTCCCAGAAAACCAAGACCGTTTAAGAGCCCAGGTTGAGTGCCCTGAGCCTGATCACCCCCGCAAAAGACACCACCTGCTCCTTCAATCATTAAAAAAACAAGAAAATAAAGCTTATATATTTCTTACTAAAATTTAACTGCACATACATTATAATAAATTAGAAACAACCTCCTACCACTGTATACTCAAACACCTTCACATAGTAATACAACTGTATAAACTTTTTTTTTTTTTGACAGTCTTGCTCTCCCAGGCTGGAGTGCAGTGGTGTGATCTCAGCTCACTGCAAAACTTAATTTTTAATATTCACCTGGAAATAGGCTAACACTTTAAGTGTTAACCCATCAAAATAAGAGGTTAAAAAAAGATGTGTTTAAATAAACACGATCTTCCATGGTTGCCGAATTTATACTATAAGCAGATACCTTAGACACAGAAGACTTGAGTTTGCCAACATAATCCCAAACTGTCTTCGGTGCAATCCTCCCACCAATGTGGATCGTGTCAGGCAAATCCTAAACAGAAAGCACTGGAGTAAATCACTTTGAACTGCAGTAGTCACAAAAAGATGAATGCAGTCATTTGAAGGCACATACTATCCAAGATTCAAGAAGACCACCACTATTCCAAGGAAAATAGTCATTCTTGTATTAAATGTTGTATTAAATCCAGGATTACAAGTTACCAAATCCGAGGGGGGTATGATGCCCACCTTCTGCCAAACAAGATTATGTTTAGAAATCACTGCCCAACACTTCTACGCTGTCTTTATGTACATACACAGAGAGTAACGACTCACGTATGAGCCAGGGTGACTCCTTGCATTAAAGTCATAAATGCCAGTGCTGTTTTCTGGTTAATTCTAGAACTAAAAGGCCCGCCATGGGGTCATATGCGCCACCCCACAAGTGGCCAGGTGTGTGTAGAGCTGGCTCCGAACACCTGGCTGTGCTGGTGGCTGTGCGCACAGCCATCTGGTCAGTGCCCCAGCGAAACCGGTCACTGACAGGCCAGACTACAGGCTCACATTTCTGACCCTTTCCAAACTGCTGAACCTGTGGACTCATCATAGCCATCACCACTTTACATTTAGAGGCATTTCTGTAACCAGACAGTCAGTTGCAAGGGTGTCAGGCATTTCTGTTTCTCTCCTACTTCTTGAAAGTCATGTGTTTGACTCTAGTTTAGAAACTCCTATGAAAGACACACGCACACGCACACACATTTTCTTGGTTCTAACCTCACTGAGGTAATCAAAACACCCAGAGACAGGATACGCCTTAGTGACAAATTTTGCCACACTCTGCATGTTAATAAATCCTTTCCAAATGGTGCTGAGTCGAGACAAAAAGAGGGTCGTGTCTCCCTCTGGAGGGGACCGTGATTCTGAGGTGCTGTAAAACAAAACCATGAAAAAAAAGTTAATGTCCCTCTGTGTAATGAGAATTTCAAAAGTAGATTTTTTTTTTTTTTTTTTTTTTTTGAGACAGGATCTCATTCTGTCGTGCAGGCTGGAGTGCAGTGGGGCAACACGGCTGGCTGCAGTCTCCACCTCCCAGGCTCAGGTGATCCTCCCACCTCAGCCTTTCAAGTAGCTGGGACTACAGGCGTGCATTATCTCGCCTGGCTAATTTTTGTCCTTTTTGTAGAGATGGGGTTTTGCCATGTTGCTCAGGCTGGTTTCAAACTCCTGGGCTCAGGCACACCTCCCACCTCTGCCCTGCAACATGCTGGGGTGACAGGTGTGAGCCACTGTGCCTGGCTTCAAGAGTACAAAGACTGGCCGGGCGCGGTGGCTCAAGCCTGTAATCCCAGCACTTTGGGAGGCCGAGGCGGGTGGATCACGAGGTCAGGGATCGAGACCATCCTGGCTAACATGGTGAAACCCCGCTTCCACTAAAATCAAAAAACTAGCCCAGGCGTGGTGGGTGGCGCCTGTAGTCCCAGCTACTCGGAGGCTGAGCAGGGAAATGGCGTGAACCTGGGAGGCGGAGCTTGCAGTGAGGCGAATCGCGGCCACTGCACTCCGTCTGGGTACAAAGTGCGAGACTCCGTCTCAAAAAAAAAAAAAAAAAAAGAGTACAAAGACTTTATATGTAAAAGCAAAAGTGAACTCTTGTAAGTTTTACGTTTTTGGTAGCTCACTTTTGCCAATTACTTACTTTAATTATAATGACAGACATTTTGGTTAAAGAAAAATAAAGTGAACAGACAACAAAACTGGATGAGCACAAATCTAAATGTAAATTTCCAAGATCTCTACTTCCAAAAGGACAATAAGGCACCCTACAACTGGGACGTTCTAAAAGATGAGAGTGAAGTTGTATTCCAGCTTAAATTTCCGAGTTCAACTATTTGGTCACCAGTTATCTTTCCTTTTGTTAATCTAAAAAAAAGTTTGGCTTGTTCAGACCACACCTGAAACACCCACCTGATGTTTGGTGACGGAGGAACTGACAAGTATCTTGGGTCGGGAGATGAGGACGGCTTAGCTAGTATGGACTTGGGCACCATCACAGACGTCAAGACAGGCTTCGGCACGTCCTGTCTGGCTTCCACCACGTGGGTGCTGTCTGGGCGGGCTGCTGCGGAGGCCACGGCTGTGCATGAACTGTTTGGAGCGGTCCTGGGGTCCCGGCCGGACACTGTGACGGTGGTGACCAACCCACTCCCACAAGGGGCTGGGCAGGGGGACAGGTCTTCCAGCGGGGAGGGCTCGGGATGACCATCTCCTAGAGGCCCAGGGAAGTATGTTCTGTCTGCGTTTGGATGAGAAACACTTTCCAGGCCTGGCTCAGAGGCAACTTCAGGCAGAGCCTCCGGCATCACCTCATCAGCTGGATCAGGAGCTGGGTCAGGGGCAGAGCTGTCAGGTTTCGATTTTAAGTCTTCTTTCTTAACAGAAGCTGACAATTTTTGTTTTTTTGGAGCTGGCTCATCTTCTGCAGAGGGAACCTGGCCTGAAGAAGGCAAGGAAAGGCTCTGTGAGAAACCCAGCCGGCACACGACTGTTTCTCACACCAAGCCGAAAGCAACACTCTAAAGGCAGGGCAGGAAATCATTCTGGCCTTTCTGCATGTTTAAGCTTGGCTTAAGTGTAGTTGCTTTTAGGAGGATTCAGTGATATTTAACAAAATCAAGTTTAGTCTCAGCTTCAAGGCTCCATCCCCCAAACTGTGCTCACCTGTGCAAATTTTACAGTTGAGATCGAAGAGGTGTGCGCGGTGCTGACTGGTGGTGTCTTTCAACATGCAGCTGAAGACGTCGAGGAGCGGTGCTGTGCTCTTCTCAGGGACAGCACGTGCTGACTCCTGCTGTTCCTAAAAGAAAAAGAAAAAAGGTGAGGTCATTTCTTCTCCAAACTCAGCTCCAAATTAACAACACCCAAGAAAAGTGGTCTCATGGGATTGAGACCCACGGGGGAGAAAAAAGGACCACCGAGTACAAGGACTGAGGAATGCCACAATGACATACACCGAATACAAGGACTGAGGAATGCCACAATGACATACACCTGCTGTAAGCTCAGTGTCCTGCCCAATAATTTAAGATAACCTCAAAACATTTGGGATGGATTAATCTATCTTGGTGAACACAAAAGCTCCCAAATGCTTACCTCTGAATCTGACACTGGCGGAGAGTCCTCCAGATCGGGGATGGCCTCCTGCCTGGGGGCCGTCTTCTTGCTTTCATTGTGCAGTTTAGTTCTGGACTCCATCACCTGAAATGAAAAAGACACAACAGAGCTTAAGCCTTGTTTTCTAGGAGGAAAGCATTGCTCATGCAGCCGTCTATGAATCTGTTTCTGTTAAACTCGAGTCCCGGGTGCCTCCGCAGGTGCCCTCTGCACTCACAGATCTCGTCGGCCTCTCTTTCCACGTGGAAAGCTCTTTAGATACAAGTTCTTCTGGCTTCAGTCTCACAAGTTTTGCCAAAGAGATTTCCTCACGCAGAACACGGTGGAAGAGTCCCTATAAACAAATATTTTTCATTTACTCAAATACTATTCCTGTATCTGTCAATACAGAGAGCTTATGGAAAACAGAGCTGCCCAGAAGTTTAGCGGGCACAGGACAAACGCCCTCAGGGCCCACCTGCATGTGGCACTGGGCAGACCTCTCTAACTCCCCAAATGGCCTTGTGAGAGTGCGCCCTGGGTCATTCCTGCTGTGAGCAAATGGGGGCCCAGAGAGCACAAGTCATAAGGTTAAACAGTGGGTCTCACGGCCTATGCTGCACTGGCTCTGCTAAAAAAACAACACACAACACCTCACGAAAAACAATTATGTACACAAGGTGGACACAAGTCAAAAAGGTAGTGTCAGGGACAAAGGAAGGAAGAAATCATTTCTGTTTGTGGCTGTTCAATGGTGAGATGCAAAGTCAGGGTCTTTCAATATTCTAAAATTCTAAACAGGGAGGGGTTTGGAGGCCGATGGAGAGAGAACACCAGAAGGCTGTAAGCCTGGCGGCGAGAGGCCACCAGGCAGGCAGCCTATCCCTCCCAGCTGGAGTTTCTGTCCCTGTTGCATGGGCCGAGCACCGCCCACCCCACACTGCAGTGAGGAAGGACTGATTCCACAACCTGGGCATAAGCAGCCCCTGCTCCAAGTGGTGAGAACTCACTAAAGCAGCCCAAACCATCAGGCTCACTCAGCTGGTGAGCAATATGAGAAAATAAGGTGGAAAAGGCTGTCTGAGGCCGTAATATGGACACCCTCATATACTGGGACAAAGAATTGGGACTTTGGCTGGGCACGGTGGCTCAAGCCTGTAATCCCAGCACTTTGGGAGGCTGAGACGGGCGGATCACGAGGTCAGGATATCAAGACCATCCTGGCTAACACGGTGAAACCCCGTCTCTACTAAAAATATAAAAAACTAGCCAGGCAAGGTGGTGGGCGCCTGTAGTCCCAGCTACTCGGGAGGCTGAGGCAGGAGAATGGCGAGAACCTGGGAGGCAGAGCTTGCAGTGAGCTGAGATCCGGCCACTGCACTCCAGCCTGGGTGACAGAGCGAGACTCCGTCTCAAAAAAAAAAAAAAAAAAGAATTGGACTTTATTTTGGAGCCAGTGAAGTGACTGGCTTGTAATTTTACAGCAATGTTTAGAGGAGGCTAATCTGGTGATAAAACGTGGACTTCAGGGAAGCCAATAAGCAGACAGGACCCCAATTAAGGCAGGGAAGGGAAGGACATTCCAGGACCCTCAACACCAATACGGCAATACATGGGCTGGCGGAAGGGTCACAAAGGAGAAGGAGATGTCTCAGCTTTCCTGGAAAGGACACAAACATCTCAAAATACTGTTTGGTTTATCCCTTTAGCATCCAGTGAACAGAACAGGAATACTCCAATGCACCGACACCAGGCACACACCTGATTTTTAGGGTCCTTCAGGTTGAACATGATGCTGCGGTATTTACTCTTGTAGCGATTATCTGTAACTTGAAACAAGTTAAACATCTCCTTCTCAATATGGAGGGCGATTTTTCCTACTTCGTTTTCTGTCATGATCAAGTCATCGCTGTCATTGACTCTGAACAGAATAAAAAAAGGAACTACGTAAGACACCTGCGTATGTTAAACTTTGTGAACAGTGAGGCAATCCTGCAGCCACACTGTAATGAAAGCCCTTCCATTTTAATGGGTAAGAAATCAAGCAGAACAGCCCACCTTTTCCACAAAATCTCTTTTAAGGAGCGTCTGATATTTTGCCGAATTTGTGAATTTGGCTGCGATGGGGCAGCACTCATAGCCCCGAGGCGTCCTGGGGCTGGCGAGGCCGTTGGAACAGAAGGTACCACTGGCTTCCTTACGGCTCCCACCAAGGCAGCAGAGCCGGGGAACTTCTTGGAGGCAGCTGCAGGTGCCGGTCCTGCCTGCCTGGCAACTGAAGCGCCACTCGATGGGGTAGCGGAGAGCCATGGCCTCTTGGGGATGGTGCCCTTGAAACCTGAGGGTGGCTTTTTAACGGCTGGCGCGGCTGCTGCCACATTAGCAAAAGAAGATTTCTTTGGCACGAGGTTTCTAGGTGCAGGCTGCTTGCCCACTGCAGAGCCCGGAGGGGCTGTTTTCTTTGGGGCTGCCGTGGCTGCCGCTTTCTCCTCGGACCTCCTGTCTTCCTTCGTGGCTACAAAGGAGAACACAGGCGCTGAGTGAGGGCGGACACCGCGGGGTGCTGCCACCTGACTCTAAACCTGTAAGTGCCCACCTGGCATTACTGAATAGGATGCACATAGAGAAAAGGATTTGTAAAATCTTAACATTCAGAGGAGTGTAAGGGAAGACCGCCAGCAGCATTTATGACGGTGACTACATTTTATTTCAGAAAGAAAAATGCTTTATTACATCTTTTACCTTCAACCAGCAAACTCTAGTTATTAAAGGCTTGACTTGAGCACTAGCTAAGCTTCAAAACTGAAGGACAATCTCACATTATCAATTTAAAAAAGGCAGATTTAGAACAGCACATCATTAATTCAACTGCAAGCTTTTTTGTAAACTTCAGTGAAAAAGATCGTTTAGAAGGGTAAAACAGGTTCTCTTAGCCTGGTGGGTGGGGTTGACACATCTCACTTCATTGTCCTTCCAGACTGGAGTCCGTTGGAGGTGATGCCATTAATAAAAATAAGGAAAGCTGGCATACACCTGCACCACAGGAAGAGCAGCCACACCTTTACACGAAGAGCGAGAAGCTGAGAACGCAGCAGTGCTGTTACAGGAGTGTTTCCATTCACAACCCTCACGCTGTAATTCCATTAAGTATTAATCCAAACAAGGATTATAATTAAAAGCTCAAAGATGTCAAACCCCCTCAACTTGCTCAAAAAGCCTTCTATGCCAGTGGAGAATCAATCACTTTATAACCCCGTGTGAGACTGTCAGAGCGCAAAGGCCCTCGAGCAGGGGACAGACGGCGTGCCAGTGGACAGGGCTCACTGGGGTGCACCGCAAGACAGGGCAGGGATCCAGCTAGTGGGGACAAAGGAGTGAAGCGCCTGGGGAATAGCGGGCCCCCGTGAGGGCCCCAGGACAGCAGAGGCCGTCTCAGCTCCACGGCAAGTGCCTGGGAGCTACCTTGGGTGATCAAGTAAACAAGGCCCCTCCTAGGGAAAGGCTTTTCCAACGATCTGTGCAGCAGCAAGCCTCCCAAACTCCCAAAGGCCTAATGGGAGAACGTGACAGATGCTCTCAAGAGCGCTTCGGTTTTACCCAGGGATTGAAAACAAAACCGCGCTCCTCCACCGTCGTCTTACTGACTGCTTTCAATAAATGAGGGAAGTCTGAAAGCTCAGGAAAGAGCCAAGACTCTACAAATAGGGCCTGATTCAACAGCCTGCCCCAGCTTGGTCCTGCAGGACGCCCTGCATGTGCTACCAGGCTTGGCCATGTTGGCAGCGGGTGCCAGTCCTCCCCAGCAGCCAATCCATCAAGCAGCAGCCTCAGGGCTGTGAGTCTTCCCAACTTCCCAGATAAGTACAATTCCTTCCATGTTACAAAACTTGCAACAGTACGACATGGATCCAAAATATGGTGTCACTGTTAACAGATACCCCGACTTCCAAACAATGGTGTCACTGTTAACATATATTCACCCCGACTTTCAAGAGTTCCATGTGTTCTTTCCTAACCATCATTTTAATGGTAACTAAGTAAAGGCAAATCCTGTATTTTCATCTTAGAGCCTGTCGAAACTCATGGCCCCTGCCTACCCCTTGCTAGATGTGGTCCAGCCACAGGACGCCCTGCTTGGCAACGCTGCCAGGCCCTGCCTCGCTCACCCACAACTGCACCCCAAAACACTCATTCCTGTTGGAGCTGGATCTTCAAAGTGCACTATAAAGCAATGGTAATGTCTAACAAAACAGGAACAAAGGTGACAGCTAGTTTTTACCTGTCCTGGAAACTTTGCTTTTAATTCTACATGTACTATTTCATCAGATCAGGTCTATACACCAAAGTAGTCACTACCTTAGTGTTTGCAAATCTGTTTGTAACAACTCAGTTTAACTCAGACTTAGCTCACAGGTCTGCAGCATCTTGCCTGCAGGGTTCCAATAGGTCAGTCAGGCTAAATAAAAATCGGTGGAGGCCCTTTTTCTTGGGGGAAGCAGCGAGGGGGTGGGGTGGGGATGGAATGAAAAGGCACAGCAGGCCTAGGGCGCTGGAGGCACACAGGCAGGAAGCTGACACCAGGCAGGCACCCAAAACCAAGCCCTGGTCTCCAGAGGCGGCAAACACCTGCCAGGAAGCCAGCCATCATGATTCAAACTGAAACCTCAAACCAATTCAGTGCCTGCACTAGAAAACTGTGGAGTGTTTTAATATCACGTTTAAAGAACTCTAAAAAGCTGGCTTAAGGCATTTCCAGAAACCTCAACAAAATGCCTTGGCTGTCACACAGAACGCCTGTGTGCTGTGACCTGAACGATATCTTTAGTGATGTTTAACGTTCACCTTGTTTCAAGTTAGGGTTATATGCTAACTTTAAAAACATTAGCTCCATTTCTCCAGATCCTAAGTGTTGGAATGAGATGTCCATGGCCACACTCAGTATCTCTGCTCGTGTAACTAGAGTACTGTCTCCCTCACTTAGGGAAAACCCAAGTTGAGACACGAATTTTAGGGCATTCCCAATACACGGGATTAAAACCACCCATTACTCAAGAGTGGGGACAGCAGATGAACGTAATTTATTTGAAAAGCAGGAGATACCTTTCCTTAACCATTGCTATTTTAGAAAATTAACTGCTCCCTTTGTCATCCCTCACCTGTGCTTTAAAGAGCATGGAAATGGGCAGTCAGGTGACTGAACGGCAGAATGTTCCAAGCTGGGCCTCCGGGAGCAGTGTCCTGCAACACACAAAGCCCCATTCCTGCTCGGAAGGGACATGTTCCATCCAGCGACTGCTCCAGGGACCTGAGCACACAGCCATTCCACACCAGGTGGGACAGCACGGCTGGTGCTCAACTTGAGTCAGCTGCTGACGAAATGGGGAAACTCACTTTTTAGTAGAGCTAAAATTCGATTTGCAAGTTCATCCAAATTCACTTTTAACTATTATGGTGTATAGCATTAGAGCGGGGCAAGCAGCAACTCCAAGCAACCTGGGAAAAAACCCACTGCAGAGAAACAGGGCCCTGTCAGGGCATGAGCCTCCCCTACACGCTGCTGGGTTCCCTGAGGGCAGCAGTGGTGGTGACCTGGTCACACCACACAGCACTGATGCCTGAGAGCTACCGGTTCCCTGCCCCTCCCCACACCTCTCTGCCCCTTGGTTGCAGCGCTGTCTCCTTTAGCTCCCATATTCTGGGGGCCTGTCTAGGCCACTGGCCCAGATGAAACTGTTGCTGCCGGGTCTGGGTTTCAGCCAACTGCAGAATGAAGCAGGTCGTCGTCGTGCACATGGATCAGCAGCACACTCTAATTGGCCAATTTCCCCCAAAGCAGAAGGCTGGCTGGTTTGGGTGCTACTGTGCCGCTGGCCACTGGGTGGCACCAGGCCCTGAGCAGAGACGGGGAGGAGAAAACCAGGCCCCCACCGGAGGATGGTGCTATTCGGCTCCTCTCTGTAGAACTCATCCAATTGCCCCAGTGGAAGTTTTAGCAGGACAGGGATTAAAATATGGGGCAAGAGACCCAAGTCTGCTCAGTTCTGGCCTGTGCAGAGGCCCACGTGTAGCGACCTTATGTGCTGGATGGCTCCTCACAGGGAAAGGAACTGGTTATAAAAAATCACTGAAAGCCACCACTCGCCCTCGCATAGGTGTTAACGACGAAGTGGCCTGCCCTGTCGCAGTACTGCTGGCTGGTTTAGGGAAGCTGGGGCACTCAGACCTCCAACCGGCCTCCCGCGGTGTCCTGATGCTGCCTATCACCGTCCGCTACAGCTCTAAGGGCTGTTCCTATGCTATGCACCTGAAAATACACTCAAGAGACACAGGGAAGGACCCGTGGAAGTAAATTCTGTAAACTGTGACGTCAGGCCTATTTCCAGCCCTCACTGAGGCGTGTGTACAACAATGTTTTACACATTTTCCCGCTTTACCTGTTTCTTCACTACCAAGATTGCCCCCAGTGGGAACAATCAAGGTGACAGTGGCAAGAGAAAATGTTCTGCTTTTGCTCTTCTCAACGTGCTAAAATGTGTTCAAATGAATTAGCCTCTTACAAGTAGTTACTAACTTGCTTTCATGTTGGGGGGAAATGGTTAATTCCCAAATAAAGCAGGCAGACTACATCCCAGATGCTCGTCAGAGACCATCACTACAGCCAGGACACCCTTGCAGGGTCCACAGCTAGACTGCCATGCTTTGGAATACTCAAAGCTTTCCTTGGTCAGTTTTCTTACTAATACCCACTATTTGAGTGCCTTCCAACTTAATGGAGAGGTCATTCTCCTTAAGAAACTCGTGTGAGGGCCACGTAGACAGATGGACGTTCCACTCAACTGCAATTTCAGTTGTGCCCAGCTGCACATGGTGTGTGCTTGGCTGCCAAACCCATTTGGGAGCAGAGCTGCTGCTCTTCCCAAGATCTCCCACACCAGTAATTTAACCTTTATCTAAATTGTTTACTACTTAAACCAACATGTTAGGGGCAGGTTAAATTAGTCCACAACCCTCCCCCGTAATCCCTCCAGTCCCAAAGGGCCATACTCAGTATAAAGCCCCTAGCTGACAGCACCAAGCAGGTCAGCTGAGGATAAAGTCAGTTACCTTACGCTCTTCTTGCCGAACTCTTCCAGGTTGCGGCAAATGAAAGTTGCCACAACCTTCATTTAAATAAGTGCAAAAATTCTTGTCAATCTTCTAAGTTACTTCTCTAACTTTTAGAAGCTAAGAATATAACGTGTATGCTGATGTGTTAGCAGACAAAAAAAGAAAAAGAAACCCAGTATTATTCCACAACTTCATAGAAATCGACCTGAAACTTGGGCACCACATTGGAGGAATTGTAGCAGGTGTCTTCAGAGCTGACCTCTGCACTCTGTGACACCGATAATGCCAAGGAGGCTTTCCTGAGCATTCATCTTTAGACTATTAGAGTAGATCCATAGCTCCAAAAGGTCCTATGAAGGTCACTGAAGAGGTGGTGAATTCAGGGGGACTGATTCTGCTGGAAACTTCCATCCCTGCACCCCACCTGCCCAAGGTGGGTGAAGCATAAGCACAAAGGGGGCAGCTGAGGGACCGACAGGGGCGCCACAGGGCGGTGACGACGTGGGGCTTCACCGTGCAGGCTCACGGTTACGGAGGTGTGAAACCTTTCCCTGGTGTAATTTTCTCAACAGCAGGCTGCTTTTTAAGTTTATAAAAAGTAAAACACTTAAAAATACCAAAAGAATGTTACTGACAGCCCAAAAAACTTCCAGTTATATGGATAACAGAAAAAACAACTCTCAAGCTATAGCCTTTCTCAGTACAGATTCTGATTTTTCTAATTGGGAGGAAGAGATTGGTGGACACGTAGAGTCTGATGACTCTCTCAGCCTCATTTTATTGCCGCTGACAACTCTGGAGGAGACAGACAAAAAAGAGCTCACGGGACCAGTGAACAAGCCACCCTCCTCTCCCGGCTTTAAATTCCTGCAAAACACTCTTAGATTCTAGAAGCCCCCATGTATTGTTTTATTATTGAAAACTGAAAATGGATCCTCTTAGGATTTCAGTGACATGTGCTTCTGGAGCTCACACCATGAGTTATCCTTGTGAACGGTGTTCTCCGTCCATTTCACGCCACCAGGGCCATCTCTGTGGCAGCACGTGGGAACAAGAGGCAGTGCTTCCACCTGGGCACCATGCTTAACACAGCATCTGGATTTGGGTTTACAAACTGGCAAGGTTTTCCATTTTAACTCCAATGGTTAGATGAAACGAACTGTAGAATCTGCTTTGCAGTCAAAATCTGTTCAGATCCTCAGTGTTTAAGTCACTTAATGAGCCATTTAGGGAGTCCAAAATACTAGGAATTATACCCATAAATACCAGAATTCCATCTCAAAATTCTGGTCAGTCAGGTACATCTCAGAAAAAAATTTCCAACTGACTTCATGCCTGGACAATAATGGGAGGTGAACAGTGGAAATAAAGAGAAAAAAATGGAACAAGAATTTATAAAAACACAAAAGAAACATCATGATCTTTGAGAAGTTATGTGCCAAATGTTTACATAAGCTAAAGAAACTGTATATATAAGAAACAATTTTTAAAAACAAATGGGAGGAACAAGTTGAGGCTGTGAAGGACCTCCTGATACCTTAGTGGGGGGCATAGCCTCCTTCCAGCAGCAGCAGAACGTCTGTGCACACGAGACCTCGCCTGTTGCACAGGAGCCCCCAGCTCAACCGAGTACCATGGGAAGGACAGGAGGGTGCCTAGGTGCACTCTGGGGAGCAGCAGTGGCAGCTCCACCACGTGGGTCTTCTGACGGTATGTACGGTGAGGCAAGTGTGAATCAACTCATGGGACAGACCCACACCAGCCTCTTACTTCCAATCTCACCCCCTACCAGGGAGGGCGAGCTCTGTGGCCAGCAAGGGAGGTAGGGCGGGGGCCTCAAAGGCGGACAGTGGTGGCAGGCTCCCCAGTAGCTGTCGAGCCCGCGAAAGTGCAGAGGTTGTTTAGGAGACAGACAGAGACATGGTACCTGCTCTCACCAATGCCTCTAACTCTGCTCCAATCAATCACATTTTGGGAAGACGACATTTCCGGGATAACAAAACGAGCAGAAAGCTACTAGCTCAAAAGTGTGTCATCCCCATTCACACCCTGTATAAATTCTGGAAATTCACCAATTTTAACTTGAGGTGATGTGTTGGGAAGGCTAACAGGCAATTTCCCCCACTTCCTGTCCCTGGAGCAAATCAGCTTCCCAGAGGAGCTGATCTGTGGCAAAGGAGGGAAGAAGGAGAAAAGGTCAGAGGACCCCGCTATGGGCAGAGCAGCAGCCTCCTGGTCGACCTCTCCCCACTCACAGTGCAGGAGGCAGGCAGGAAGCAATAACCCAGGGCCGAGAACCCCTCCTTTCCCCATCTTCCCACCAATGCTCCCTTCCCGCAATGTACTCGGACTCTTCCAGCTACACGTGTGGAGTCTCTGGCAGCTTTTCAATTCTGGTTGACACAGATGGAAATTAATCAAGCTGAAATTATCACTGTTCTATTGTAGAGGTGCTAGAAGCTGATGAACATTTGAGACATTTGCTAGCATAAAATTCTCAGCTCAAACAATGTAAGGTATCTCAAGATTCATTATAATGCAGCAATAGCATGGTTCAATTTATGTGCGGCTCAATTTCTTAGGTCTAGGCTGTTTACATGATCAAAACGAATGACATATTTTTCTTCTTTTATTCAGTTATTCATGCTCAATAACTGCATATTTTTCGCCAGGCACAGTGGCTCACACCTCCAATTCTAGCACTTTGGGAGGCCGAGTTGGGCGGATCACATGAGGCCGGGAGTTCAAGACCAGTCTGGCCAACATAGTGAAACCCCGTCTCTATTAAAAATACAAAAATTAGCCAGGCGTGGTGTCAAGGGCCTGTAATCTCAGCTACTTGGGAGGCTGAGGCAGGAGAATCGTTTGAACCCGGAGGTGGAGGTTGCAGTGAGCCGAGATCATGCCACTGTACTCCAGCCTAGGCGACAGAGCAAGACTCTGTCTCTCTCTTTCTCTCTCTCTCTCTCTCACACACACACACACACACAAGCATATTTTTGTAAAGCACACCAGACCTAGTACAGGTCTGCACCTGCATAAGTGCCATCCCTTAGGGAATCTGCTCAAAGTCTGACGACGGGGAAAGCGGGGCACTCTGTGATCGTCTCTGAATTGAGACTATTTAACCTTTCAGTGCCTTTTTTAAAAAGCACAAAATGCACTATAGACAGAAGGCATTAAAGAATGAACTGAAAATAGTTTTATAGCAGAAAACTGAGAAACAAGAAAATATTAAAGTTGCACCACAGAATCTGAGGTTTCAAAGATCTGTTTGAAATATCTTCATCTCATTAATTCGAAATTTGGGGCAGGATATGATCTTAACACTCTAAACATTTGAGAGAGGAGGGCAAGAAAGCCAGTCACATGTAGAATACCAAGTCCAAGCCACGCGTCCTGCGGTCAGGACAGTGTTCTAGGTGTGAACTCACTTACCGTGGGGCCTATGAAGCAGCAATGCGTGGCCTTCGAAGTTCGAATGTGTTCATGCAGGTGTGTAGCATGTGAATAGGACATGAAAAAAAAAATCCCCTATCTGCCCAGTCAAAAATAAATGTACACCTGAAAAGCATACGTAAGTTGAGCATCAGATGCAACACTAACTTGCAAAGATTCCCACAACATAAAAAAGAAGTGATGCTTTCATGTGCTGGCTGTGGATAATGTGGAAAAACTGAAGCGTATACAGCGCCGTCGTCAAACAACTGATGGTGCAGACGGGTGGATGTGGAGTGCTGGGCAGTGTGGCTATGCAATCAGACTGGCATGAAGAGAATACGAATACTTACCAGAGCCTGACAGTGAAAATAGAGATTAAAAAATCAATCATTAAGGTGAACGTTCACCAGTGAGGTTTGTACAGCTTTGGAAAACAGTGACAGGAAGTCCCGACAGACTAGGGATGGACACAGGGCAGCAGGAGGCATCCTGGACATGGGCTCTGCTTCCCGCTGATGGTGCAGCCGGTGTCTGTGATCAGCTTAACACACAGCTGCAACTCCCAGTCCTGGACAGGCCCAGGGGATGGCTATCCAGAAAGAACGGGAGGGGTCCAGAAGGCCAACCCCTAGGTGATACATACATTTATACAACAGTGACGGCGAGGGAGCAGCAGTCTTTTCTGGCTTTACTGCATTGTAATTGTGATCGCTCGCCCACGACGGCGTGCTGCTCTCACAAGCTGCTTCCTTCCCGAGTGCTTCACTCCGCGCAGGGACCACCACTGCCTTCTTCACTGTGGTCTCTTTTTTTTCTGGAGCTGGTCTCTTGTGCACAGAAGAGATTTTAATACCTGCCTGGATAATCAGTAAAACCCCAAATCATTAAGAAGGTAAGAAATTACATCTTCATTTCACTAAGAAATGAAGGTGGGGACCCAATGTCTTCTTGAGGCCATCTGAAGACCCTGCACCCATCCTGTGCCTGCTTGGCAGCCGTTCAACACACTTGCGTATCCAGTGGGCCCACAGTGTCCTCGGGTAAAACTGAGGACTTCAGCCACTTGCGCTCCATGAAGGGCGCCTGGCATGGAGTCACCTGCAACCCTGATGAGGTGCCCGGTTGCCAAGATGACAGGCAGGAGGAGAAGCCACTGGACAGGCTGCCAAGACAGGAGGAGTGCGGCAATGAACCAAATGAACCAAATGAGCCAAATGAGTGGAAAGGCCTGCGCGGGAGGCTGCCCAATGCCAAGGGTTCAAAAGGACCAGCCTTAAAAATTAAGTCATTCGAAGGCTAAGGAATCAATTTGAAAATAATCAAGAAAACTCCTCAAACAGTGCTAGTTATGCTTTGCCGGTCACAAACATAACAGGGGCAGTGACACAGCCACAGCCACCTGAGCCTCAGAAGGGGCTTCAAGTCTAAGACAAGAGTCTGTGATTTCTGAACATCCTTGATTCTTTCCAAATCACATGGAGTACAAACATGAGACAATTCTGAGAGCCGGGTCTTAAATGAAGCCCATGGCCTTGCCCCAAACCCACCTCCCACTCCTGCCTGCCTGCAAGTCTACGCTTTACAAACTCCACCGGGTGGTTACCGACTCTTCTCGCAAGACAGCAGGGTGTGTCCTGAAGTCTTATGCCCCCCGTGCAGCGCCACTGTCAGCATTTGCTTTACTGCACTTGTATTAACCCCTCAGCTAACGGGCAGAAAAGAGAAAACTGGTGGGAAGGTGGAAGACAAAGGTCAAGGCGACACCACATGTGCGCCACCTACACCTGCCACCCCCAAGCGGTCGACAAACCAACAGGTCTGCAACAAATGCTCTCGCGCCCATGCATCCACCGCCCGGGCGGCTGGTCCCGGTTCACTCACCTGAACACCACATTTTGGAAGACTGGGCTTCTCTGGCTTCATCTTCATCTTTTCTTTAGGCTTTGGCTTCTGTTCTTTACCTGAGCTTAGAAACTTCATTGTCGCTGCAGCATGTTTGAGGATACAGTCATTACTGCAGTACACGGAGTCGGGCTGCGCCACCTGACAGCACCCGGGGCCAATACATTTTGAGGCACCAGGCGTCTCTATCACCTGCAGAGCGAAACAGATGACTTCAAACAATGTACTTGCCAATTTTAAGCAGTTAAGTGTGTGTCTTGTAAAATCACCACTTATAGTACCAAGGCCACAGTTTTAAAATGAGATACTAGTAGTACTTTTAATATGAAGAAACATTTATTTTGTTTATTCAAGCTATGAAAATCCCCTTGCTCCAGGTAAGGCATTCACACTGTCACTGCCCGTCATGCCCCGCAGGGGGCAGGAGTCTGAGGTCCCTGGACTCCCGCCCTCAGTTAGGTGCACCCTCCGAGGGTGGGCGGGGCCCACGGGACCTCACATCCACAAAGAGGCTCAGCTAGAGGACCCTCATGCAGGGCTTTTGCTCTAACTGGGATGACTGCAAGTCAAATGGGTCAAACTTAATCAGGTAAAAACCCTTAAAAGAGGAACTGGGTCTTTTGTGAAGAGAGAAGACTTCAGAGCTGGTTTTGAAGTAAGCTTCCCTGCTTTGAGAGGGTTACCTGTAGCTAGGATCTGAGGGCAAGGTTGCCAAGTAAAATACAGGATGCCAATGAAATCTGAATGTCAGATAAACAATGAGTAATTTTTCAGTGTAAGTATGCTCCCCAAGGCCGGGCGGATCACGAGGTCAGAAGATCGAGACCATCCTGGCTAACACGGTGAAACCCCGTCTCTACTAAAAATACAAAAAATTAGCCAGGCGTGGTGGCGGGGGCCTGTAATCCCAGCTACTCGGAAGGCTGAAGCAGGAGAAGGGCGTGAACCCAGGAGGCGGAGCTTGCAGTGAGCCCAGATCGCGCCATTGCACTCCAGCCTGGGGACAGAGCAAGATTCCGTTTCAAAAAAAAACAAACAAAAAAAAAAACAAAAAAAGTATGCCCCCCAAATTGCATGACACATACTTTTTTTGTGTGAGACAGGGTCTTGCTCTGTTGCCCAGGCCGGAGAGCACAATCATAGCTCACTGTAGCCTTGATGTCCTGAGCTCAAGTGATCCACCTCAGCCTCCCCAGTAGCTGGGACTACAGGCACATACCACCATGCCCAGCTAATTATTTTTTTGTAGAGATGGGGGTCTCACTACATTGCCCAGGCTGGTCTTGAACTCTTGGCCTCAAGTGATCCTCCCATCTTGACTTCTCAAAGTGCTGGGATTACAGGTGTGAGCCACAACACCCAGACAGACACACTTATATAGTAAAAACAGTGTGAGGAAATCCCCCACCAAGCCTCTCGAGACCACAGCCCCCGCTGCACCGTGACTGCAGTCCTGTAAGACCTGAGCAGCAGGCCCAGGCTTCCCATGGAAATGGAGGCATAAACGTGGGCTCCTTCAAGCCAGGACTGCAGTCACTCACCACGCAGCAGGAGGACACTCACGTACGACAGGCAGCGCGACTGCAGTCACTCACCACGCAGCAGGAGGACACTCACGTACCACAGGCAGCGTGACTGCAGTCATTCACCACGCAGCAGGAGGACACTCACGTACTACAGGCAGCGCGACTGCAGTCACTCACCACGCAGCAGGAGGAAACTCACGTACCACAGGCAGCGTGACTGCTGCTGTTTACAGTCTGTTTCCATGATCAGGCCTCAGCACACATGAACGTGGCCTTCACACATACATAAGCAAAACCTTATTTCTCAAATTAAATATTTAACAGAATTGGTTTTCCTCCACAGAATCTCAGTTTAACTGAGAATACAATTTAGGTTTGTGCAAGGTTATGTCAAGCACATTGACAATTAAAAAAAAAAAATGTTGGGCGTGGTGGTGTGTGCTTGTAGTCCCAGCTACTTGGGAGGCTAAGGTGCGAGGATCACTCAAGCCCACTGCAGTGAGCTGGGACTGTGCCACTGAACTCCAGCCTGGGCAACAGAGCGAAGCCTCAACTGCACAAAAAACAGAATCAATACATTTAAAAAGAAAGACATAAAATCACTGACTTTTCTCATGAATTCCCATTTCCACTCATCTCTGAATGCCTAGATGTGGTCCCTGACAGCGCTGCAGCATGAGCCTTCAGCCCTTCCATGCCTCCAGGGCACGCTCCTATGTGCACAGCCCGGCCTTCCCACATCCTCACCTTGCAGCTAACCCAGTGCAAGAGTGTGAAGGCAGAGATGCTTCTAGACACATCAATCTCCAATACCTGCCAGAGGACAGGTAGCTGGGTGGGGACAGGCCCGGGACCCGGGAAGGCCCAGAGTGAAAACACACCAAGTCAGACCTGCCCTGTGGGGACTGGAATGGAGACTGCAAACACAAGACAGCATCAGAAGCCAACAGCGTGTGGGAAATGTCATAAACACCAGGGGGAGAGAATTAAGTCAACACAGCCACAAGACAAACCACACTCTCAACACAAACACCCCGAGGAGCCAGCACCAGAACCAGGAGGACGCCAGAGATGGCAGGTGACCCAGGAGTACCGCCACTCCCATCGTTCAGAAACGATTCCACTAGTGCACACAAAACATGTAAGCAACATCCAAATCCTCAAAGATGGGCTGATTTCAAACATTAAGTCATTAATAGTAGAGGAGGTAGACAGGGTAATAATAAAAATAGAAAGGCCTCACCCAGGTGGAGTGAGGCAGGAACCCAGGAGAGGCACTGCCCCACATGGGTGCAGCTCCCATCCTGGGAGGAATTCCTATCGAGAGCGAGAGCGAGGAAACCCACGAGGCCGACCGCTGAATGCTTGTCTCAGCGGACACTTACAGGTTGGAAGATCTTGAGTTTCTTTTTGCCACTTGGATTTGCAGCTTTCTCAATTCTACCCTTTATCCCTTGGTCTTCGCTAGACTTCTGCTCTATTGTTCCTATACTTGTACAATCGGTGCCATCAGCATCTCCAGGTCTCAATTTAGCTTCTTGCTGATCTGCGGTTTCTGAATTAGTCTCATCCTGCACTTGCAGAATGGTGCAGTTTGGGCAGATATAGTCTTCCCCATTCCTTTCCAAAAGCCTCCCTCGAGCCTCAGAAATGCCCACACAATCGCCATGAAACCATTCTTCACAGCGGTCACAGCAAATCATAAACCTGAAATTATAAAATAACAGTATTAGTAATGGGAAGTGACAAGCACTTTTCAACATATTAATAAGCCAATTGGTTTTAACATTATGAAAAAATGCAAATATACAAAGTAGAGAATAAGAACGTCCTCATGCCTTTCCCTTAATTTTAACATTCAATCAAATTTGGTTCACCATTTTTTAAGAGTAGGGCATTTTAGGAGCGAACTCCAAGGCATTCCACCACAAATACCTCAGCAAGTCTCCCCTCAAAACTGCACCAATGCCTTTATCCCAGCACCAAGCCAACAGGCTGCCTATCACCATCTGACATCCAGTCCTAGCAGAGGTCTTTTGAGCTAACCCAAATGTTTGTACTAGGCTAGTTGCAGTCTGCACATGGCCCTCTGTTAAGTCTCCCAAGGGACAGTCTAGAGGAACGGTCTCAGACAGACAGTCGCCCGAGTGACAGACGCATTCTCCTCCGTGCCGTCTACACAGAGCCACTGGCTGCATGTGGCTCACATGACTGGGGTGGGGAGCTATTCATCTCCTCACTTGACTGGAAACAGTCATGTGTGGCTGGTGGCAACCACGGTGGAGAGGTGGCTCTAGGAAGTCCTTAGCCACTCTATGTTTCTTTTTTGACAATGACTTGTTCATCGTTTCCAACTTAACAAATGGCTCATCCAGCCCAGCTCTGTAGCCCTTTAAAATGAAAACAAATGGAAAATTCTGTTTGCAACCCTGGGATTTCTGTGGGAGCCGAGGCAGCGTGCCCACACATGACCTACCTGTTGTTGTGAGGCTGACGGCAAATGCAATATAGGGCATTGGGGTCATAACCCTCACATTCAGGCTTCGGTCTGCCCGAGTCTCCAGGCTCCTCCTCTTTGACGTCCTGAGCCGCCTTTCCCTCCAACTTACTCTCTCTGTCGTCTTTCCCAGCCTGGGACGCAGTCCCCTGATCATTCTCGGGCTCCTGCTTACTGGGCAGGACACCCTCCACAGTGTCACTGGCCTCGGAGCCCACAGTTTCAGCAGGACCCTCCTCCCGGCGCTTCTTCCGCAGGCGACTCTGGATCCCTTTCAGGGGCCTCTCGGTGGGCTCCTGTTCCCGCTTCCTGCGAAGGCGATTCTGAAGCTCTTTCAAGGTCAGGCCATCGCTGTCACTATCGGAGGTGTCATCATGGTCATCCCCTCCTTTCACCTTTTCAGAAGAGGTTGGTCGTTCCTTCACAGGCGTGGAAGCAGACTGGGTGCCGCTTCTGGTCTCAGAAGCACTTTCCACGCTGCCCTCGGAGGCTGTCTCAGCATCTGTGGCGGGACAGGACGTGGGCTCACCAGAATCCTCCAGGGAGACGGGCGCGCTCCTCCTGCCGCGGCGCCGCGCAATGGTCAGGAACTGCTCCACACGCTCAGTGCGCTTGGGCTGCCTCCCACTGCGCCGCAGGGACAGGCCCAGCTGCTGCTGTGGGGGCGGCGGCTCCAGTGGGTCAGCCTCTGCATCCCCTGCGCCCTCTCGCTTGGCGATAGTGGTCCTTCGAAAACCCCATGTTTTCCTGAACTCTTTGCTGGTGGGTTTGATGGCCTTAGGTGCCTCCTCATTGCTCGGGTCACCTTTGTCATCCATACCTAGTGGAAAAGTGTAAGCACATCGTGACCAACCGACTACCGAACAAAAGATGACATTGCCGCCAAACACGTGCAAAGCAAGTCCTTCTGACCAGTGTTTCCTAATGTGTGCTATGTGAGATGATTCGAGATGATTTGTAAAGATAATTTTAATAAACAACTAATGTTTAGACAAAAATACAGCTAGCAAATCAAATGTACAATTTCATCATTTAACTGCTTAGGAAAAGGCTTCACAAGCCAGGTAGCAGGGATAAATATGAAATAATGGACAGTACAGTGGGGTAGCTCAGAGGCGGCACGAGTTCCTCAGTACCTCTGCAGGCAGATGGGCTGCTTTGACCACAAGCACAGTGAACAAGACGCTGTGCCAGTTTGGACGTGGCCTGCAAGGGGACCCAAGTCTGTTCTGGACTTTGCAAGCATGGGCTGGCCACTACCATGCTGAAAAGAGGGTATGAAGAAGCTGAGTCCCGACTTTCAGCTCCCCAACCAGGGGCTGGGGCCAGGAAGGATGCTCTCACTATCTGGGACCCTGTGTGCCAGCCCTGCTGCCAAGGGAATGGCCCTCATTGACCCTCATGGGCACAACGTGAGAGAACTGCCCGACTCCCGACCCACAGACTGTGTCATATGAAACAAAGCTTGTCTTAGTCTACTGAGCTTTGGAGATATTGTTAGCAGCAACATACAACTGGGACACTTAGAAAATATGGTCAAGGCGATCACTTTATGAGACGGAGTCTTGCTCTGTCCCCAGGCTGGAGTGAGCCACCATGCCAGGCCAATACATTACTTTTCTGTATTCTTTTTCACTTTCATTCTAATACATTATTAAAGAATCTTATTTGTGAAACTTTTAGTCTTGTTGAAACGACAAAAATCTGAAAAAGATAGTATATACTTTGAGAATTCTTTTCCAAGCTGTCCAAGTTTTAATTATATGTAAATGCTAATGATGTCTCTGATTTTATGCCATGTTCCATCCTGGGGGGAAGGACAGGCATAAAATGAAAGCCTTAAAAAATATACAAAATGGGGCCGGGCCTGGTGGCTCAAGCCTATTATCCCAGCACTTTGGGAGGCCGAGGCAGGTGGATCACTGGAGGTTAGGAGTTCGAGACCAGCCTGGCCAAGATGGTGAAACCCCGTCCCTACTAAAAATACAAAAACGAGTCGGGCATGGTGGTGGGCGCCTGTAATCCCACATACTTGGGAGGCTGAGGCAGGAGAATCGCTTGCACCCGGGAGGCGGAGGTTGCAGTGAGCCGCGATCACGCCACTGCACTCCAGCCTGGGCAATAGAGCAAGACTCAGTCTCAAAAAAAAAAAAAAAAAAAAAAAAAAAAAAATGGAAAATTACTTGCAACCTGTGTTGTTCTTTTTGCTTCCCTCTAAATGCTGTCACTTCTCATTTCCTGTGATGCTGCCTGGCCATGGCCTCCATGCTCTGTAAATGTGACCCACAGCCCCAGGTCACTCCACAGAAGCCTTGGAGATAAGGGACCCATCACTTCTCTGCTCGCCTGAGCTGACCCCATTGTTAAAGGACACAGCTAAACTCGATCAGGGTGCCAGCAGTGACTCCAAGTCAGGGTGCAAACTCTGGAGGCTGCTGTGTGAGGGGGGCACTAGAGACGGTGGTAAACAGAAAGGGGGCTTCCTTCACCAGCCAGGTGACTCCAGGCAAGTCACAAGGAACTGCTCTGATCCAGGAGGCAACGCTGACCTCAAAGGTTAAGGGCAAAGCAGAGAATACTGCTTACAAATATATATGGTAGAGCAATTATTAAACCACATCAGTTAAAGTGGCTTATTCATTCTCATTGGAAATTTTACATTTAGGGAAAGTTTTTCTGCTTGTGCAAGCCAAAATATTTGCAAGAAATGTGACAGTCATCTCAAAAGAGGGTCAACCCCATGTTTTCTTTTTTTTTTTTTGAGACGGAGTCTCGCTCTGTCGCCCAGGCTGGAGTGCAGTGGCCGGATCTCAGCTCACTGCAAGCTCCGCCTCCCGGGTTCATGCCATTCTCCTGCCTCAGCCTCCCGAGTAGCTGGGACTACAGGCGCCCGCCACCTCGCCCGGCTAGTTTTTTTGTATTTTTTAGTAGAGACGGGGTTTCACCGTGTTAGCCGGGATGGTCTCGATCTCCTGACCTCGTGATCCGCCCGTCTCGGCCTCCCAAAGTGCTGGGATTACAGGCTTGAGCCACCGCGCCCGGCCAACCCCATGTTTTCATGCAACACTTGGAGTTTCTATTGAAGATGGAGTTTGAAGGGCTCGCACCAGCCTTTGCCCAGAAGGGCACAAAGCTGCAGTCCCCTCTGCCTCTGGGCCTATGAAGTTCCAACCCAGATGAAAAGGGCTGGTGCCTCCATGCTGGTAGCTTTCTATGGGAAGAGCCCTAGTTTATAAAACTGGATTCTCATTAAAGAGAGAACAGACTATTTGCATATGACCTATGTACAACCTCTCAAGTATTTAAATCACCTCTAGAGTACATCATAGAAACAGTTGCTGTACTACACTGTTTCATAAACTTTTTATTTTTTATTGTTATTTATTGTTTGCCCCCCAAATATTTTCAATCGGCAGCTGATGGAATCCATAGATGCAGAATCTGCTGCTACAGAGACTGCTGATACAAATGGCTGAGTGTATTTCAAATAAATACAAGTACTACATTCCATCAGTTTCTTTACAAATGCCACTTTATAAATAGCAAACACAGACTTATTCAGTTAAAATTTTGTTGCTACTGACAGTATTGATACCTTACCTGCTCCAACACTGAAAGCTTGGACACTTTTCCCTGAAATCCTAAATACAACCAAAAAACCCTGGCAGACGAAACCTCTTGGTCCAAGCAGACAGCCAGGCTCACAACAACACTGTTGTCAGCCACTATTCACGAGTAACAGGCTTCGTATTTTCAACAACTCGGATTATCTAGAGGCTGTTCCCATGGAGTAAGCTCCTAAAAGAAAATAAGAAAATATTTTACATATCTTAAGTAAATTACGTACCAACAACAATTAAAAGGGAGCACTGAATTCTCGAGTAACCTATTATTTGAGTTATACTGTGTGACCCACAAAGACAGCTAGGGGGTTGAAAACAAGCATGCGAGCAGTGTCCTTAAGGACTTCTACCCAGGACAGCAGATGCTACCAACCCCCGAGAGAAAGGGGTTGGGGCAGCGCAAGAAGGAGTGGAGTCCTAGGCTTGCCCCAGAGAGACAGGCAGAGGCACAGCCAGACCAGGGCCAGAGATGAGTTGCCAAGCATCAGCTTCTTTTCCATTTGGAGCCTATGTCCGAGATGGACCCCACTCAATAAAATCCACCACAAAACAGAAGAACAAGAACAAAAAGTGAAAAGACTGAATAACGAAATTATATACGAATGTAATTATTGAAAATTCTTAATATCGTAGCTGTATTATTTTAATTAAAAACTCAAGAAAAATTTTAGAAGACTAATGTTTGACTTACTAAAATCAGCACGATACAGTTCACCACGTGTATTTAAAAAACACTTCTCCTGTATCCTCTTTCAAATAGTCGTATCAAAACACTCAAAGGTTCCAGGTGCCTGGTTTCTAGCTAGCTCCCTGCCCCAAAGCCCACACTCCCAAGCCGAGCCCCCGCTCTCACCTCTTCCTCAGCCTCAAGACCAACTGCCTTCCCTCTGTGGTCTCCCTGGCAACCTCAGAACAAGGGACAAACATTCCAACTCCCCTCCTTTTAAAGGGACAGTGACAACTGGGCACAGTATTTCGCATCTGTGATCCCAGCTGCTTGGGAGGACTGCTTGAGCCCAGGAGTTCAAGACCAGCCCAGGCAACATGTCAGCATGTAGACACCATCTCTACAAAAAATAAAAATAAGACAAGGATCACGTAGACATTCCCTCTGATGAGCCAAATGGCATCTTCATAGTCACTATCTCTTCAATGTGGTACAACGATCATACTCAAAACAACTACTTCAAGAATTCAGAAATGACTGTTCAGAAAACACTGGAAATAAACTTATATTTCACAACACTGAGCATTTATTTTATTTTATTTCACTTTTTAAAGAGTTGGCATCTTGCTTCATTGCCCAGGCTGGAGTGCAGTGGCCCAATCATGGCTCACTACAGTCTCAAACTCCTGGGCTCAAGTGATCCTCCCAGCTTAGTCTCATGAGCAACTGGGACTATGGATGCATGCCACTATGCCCAGCTAATTTTTGAAAAAATTCCTTTTAGAGACAGGGTTTTGCTATGTTATCCAGGCTGGTCCTGAACTCCTAGCCTCAAGCAATCCTCCTGCCTCAGCCTCCAGAGTTTTGGGGATTACAGGCACGAGCCACTGTGCCCAGCCAACACTGAACATTTATAAAAGCAAACAAATTAAGAAGTTCTCAGGAATGAAAACTGATTTCTAAAAATTCAATTTACGTTAATCTGCAAAATAAACACGCTACTAGATTTGAGTTCTGAGTAATCAGAAAAACGTAGTTATTTCTGTTAAGTAGAATTCAATGAAGGATATACCTTCAGAAAAGATCAGATCACTTTCCATTTACAAAACTGATTTATTTTCATAATGTCTTCAATAAAGAAAACGTACTATAACATTTCAGTCAGCTTGTAAAATAAAAACATGTATATCAAGGCACAAGCAAAAAACACCGTGTTCTAACATAACTTGTGGGTGTGCAGAATTAGTGTGTGATTCTACACACCACACAGCACATCGCAGAGGGAATGTGCTCAGAAAACTGCAACCACATTGTATCAGTAACGACTTTTCCCCAGAAAGAAAACTGTGTGTATCCTTGAAACTGGGAAGTGAACAAACTACACGTTAAAACAGAATGTACCAAATTTAATATTTCTCTACATTTCTAAGCACATCTTTTCCCCCAGCTGAAAACTGCTTCATTTCCTACTAACTAGAAGTAGCTGATGAGTGGTGATTCAAGCAGAGGACACACACTGATTTCCAAATGCTTGAGTAGTGGCTCTCAAACCTTTTGTCTCAAGACACCTTTACTCTTACAAGTTGAGAACACCAAAGAGCTTTTGTTTATGTCGAATATATTGCTATTTTCAAAATTCTAAATATGTATTAAAAACAAACCTATTAATACATTAACAGTATCTTTAATGAAAGTTACTTCTAAAACAAAAACGTACAGGAAGGGTGGCCCTGTTGTATATTTTTGCAAATATCTGGCTTAACAGAAGATAGCTCCACGTTCATGTCTACTTCTGCCTCCAATTTGTTCCCACAGAGTGTTTCAGCTAAAACACGTCATCAAAATCTCGCCTCACGCAGACAAGTCTTTAGAATGGAGTATTGTAACCATGTTCACATAACTGTGGATGTGCACTGATACTACACCAACTCTCGCCAAGTAGCAGCTTCTTACTCGAAAATTGACTGCTGTGTTTACTCTGAACACGTCCTTGCACTCTGGACCCATGTGCATGCTGGTCACCTGGATGACACGGGTTCAAGTTGCAGACAGAGATTCTCAATGTCCGCACATCTCATCAGATGGCATAAAACAAACATTTCTTTTTTTCTGCTGCCCAGGCTGGAGTGCAGTGGTGCAAGGAAGGCTCACTGCAGCCTCAGCACCTCCCCCACCCACACTGCCACCAGGCTCAAGCGGTCTTCCCACCTCACCCTCCCCAGCAGCTGGGACTACAGGTCATGCCACCATGCCCGGTTAATGTTTACATTTTTTTTGTAGAGACAGGGTCTTACTATGTTGCTGAAGCTGGTCTCGAACTCCTGGGATCAAGCATTTATCCACCTCCGCCTTCCAGAGTGCTGGGATTACAGGTGTGAGTCACCTCACCTGGCCGATAATGTCAGGTCCAATCTCCACGAAGACTTTAGTTACTAGAAAGCCATCAAGTTTACGATGGCAGATACAAGTTTTCTAAACTTCCAATCTTCACCCCAAAGCTCAAATGTTATCCTTAGCAACAAATACTGTTTGTTCTTTCTTTGAGACATCCTTCGTTTTGGACAAAACGCCTGCCACATGCCAAGCCTGAAAACTGTCCTCCGTCTGTTGTTCTGTCAGCTCCCAGCTCAATCCCCTAGGGCTGTGCGTGGACACTACCCACGTGGGGATGCAGCAGGAGCTTTATATGTGACTTGACATTTAATCACACAGAAAGTTAAAAAGATGTATGTTTGGGGGTTCCAAATGAATAAAGTTAATATTTACTGCATCATCAGGGACATTATTTGGGAAAATTGGCATATTCTAAACATTTGGTGCCCATGCATGGTGCTGAAGAGGCTCCAATCTGCCCTGTGCCACCGGCGCAAATGTCAAACTCAACAGAACAGGCCTGTACTACTAAATGACTATTATGCAGAAGTCATCTTCACCTCTTAGCCCCAGAAAAGTCTTCAAGGACTTCCCCCTCAGGGGTCCATGGAACACAGAGAACTGTGGCAACATGCCATTTCTACCAGTTTAGGAGTACACTGGGTATGTGCAAAGCAATAATACATATCTATGCTTCAGACATCAGAAGAGACTTTAAACATTTCCCTCCACAAGCGTTCTATAACTACCTGTTAATCTCCCCTTAGATTCCCCAACTCACCAAAACAGCAAGCAGCCAAAAGTGAAATTTCTTAAAAACTAAATAAACATATCCTCCCGAAAGGTCAGCTCTATGTCACTTTAAAAAGCCCAACTACAACTATTACAAAAGCATGGGTGTGCAACCACCGCAAATCTGTGCGCTCAACTTGTACTACTCTAAAATCTGCTTGGAGTAATCAACTCAAGCATGCCCACTTCCAGGTTGGGGTGCAGCCACATGATCAGGGCGCACTGTAGCCTCCACCACACAAGTTCAAACGATCCTTACAATCCTTCCGCCTCCACCTGAGGAGCTGGGACACCACAGGTGTGAGCCACGGTGCCCAGCCCCCACCTAAAGATTTTCAGTTCCAAAAACCTGAGACTAGTTTCTGAGTAATTAATCTCCAAGACACTTTAACATATGACATATGACCATAATTAAGTTTCTATTTTCATAACATCACACCTCCAGGAAAAGAGCTCTGACTTCTAAGCAGAAAGATAAAACAAAAAGGCATATTTTACCTCGCCTGGTGGCAAACATTCTGTTTCTTCAAACCTCATATTCCCCTGAAACAATACTCAAAACAATTTTAACCCACCAGTCAGAAATTATAACGCTACAGTAAAACCTCACTATTCTAAACTTCATTATTTTGTTAACTCTCACAGGGTAGAGGCCAAAGTTTCCGTTTATTTCTATTTTGCCTATTAAGGGCCTCCTGGCTCATCAATCTGTTTATTATGCAGATGAGGAGGGAAAGAGAAGACACTAACTAAAAGTTCTTTAAACTACCACAAATGAAGGAAAGATTACCCAATAAAAGACTCTCGATAGCTCAGTTTTCATTAATAGAACAGTCACTAGGAGGATATACCTAAAAACTAGACATCCCCAAATGCGATGTGTTCTCCAGTCACCAGCAGCAGCCGTTCCTGTACCACGACGGCCCACTCAAAGCTTCACCAGCTTGCAGCAGGAAACTGTGCCGCACTCACCAAACCGGGAGAGAGAGAGATCTGGGCCCACAAGGAAACGGAGAAGCCCAACTTTCATTTACTTCAGTATCTATGCAGACTCTGACTCAATTGCAGAGATTACATTTAAATCCTTCAGAAGGCAAATTCAAAGTTTTGCTGCTTACCAAGTAACACTGTCATTATAAAAATTATTCTGGGCCGGGTGCGGTGGCTCATGCCTGCACTTTGGGAGGCTGAGGCAGGTGGATCACCTGAGGTCAGGAGTTTGAGACCAGCCTGGCCAACATGATGAAACCCCCATCTCTACTAAAAACACAAAAATTAGCAGGATGTGGTGGCGGGTGCCTGTAATCCCAGCTACTTGGGAGGCTGAGGTAGGAGAATCACTT